AGTCACATTAGATACAAATGAATGAGTAATCAAAATTTGTTAGGGGTGTATTTGTAAACTTTTAAGGTATTTTTGTTATTTTTTAAACTAATAGGAGGGTAATTAATTTTTTATAGGATACCCGGGAAAGGAACTGGAACCCGCATTTTAGGTTTCGGTTCCTTGAATTTAGGAACCTGCACTGTGCGGTTTTCATTTCAGTTCCTTTTTTTAGGAATCTATACTGTATGGTTCTGGTTTCTATTCCTCTGAAAAATGTAGGGTACCCGAAACTGCTTACCCCTAGGTATTTGGGTTATTAGAAATTTTTGAGGAGCAAATTGGTATTTAATAGGAATGAAATTGTTATCATCCCGACAGTAACAAAATACTTTTCTCATGCCATTGCCACATGTCCATTCTGCTTCTCTTTATGTAAAGTAAAGTAATTGTCTTATGTTTGATTTTGTCTTGTTTTGTTGATTCACATTAAATTTTTATTATTAGATTTAATAAAGACCAAATTAACCTTTGTTAATCCTTTGTGAAAAGCTCATATGTTGAATCAAGATAAATTTAATAAGTAAAATGACCTCCAAATTTTCATTATAGGTAATGCTATTTGTACAAACTGTTTGTATAAAGAGAGTTTGTACAAACTTACGTAGCATACCACAAAACATGTCATGTGGTATTGGAACCCACGTAACTTAATATCATGTTAATGTTATGTGGGCCTTTTATGTCCCGCGACACTCACATGGTGTGCCATGTAAGTTTGTACAAATAGCATTACCCTTTCTTGAATTATTAATTAACGTGGCTAGACGGTGTTATCTTCTTCATTTCTGTTTGCCGTTATTACAACATCTATTCTATTATATTAAATTTGTTGAATTTTTTTTTTTTTTTTCAAAATACTCTATTCCTATTCTAAAAAAAATGGATGTTTGTTTCTTTACTCTCAAAATCATATCCTATAATATTCAACTTTTTAAACCCCCATAGGTTTGTTAATTTTAGAGGTGGAAAGCAACCCGTCCGGTTCAACCCGACCCGGCCCGTGGCGGGTTGCTGTTAATGACGGGTCGGTTCTGACCCGCCCGGTGACAGGAATTGGCTGGCCCAACTAGAACCACCAACCCTAACCTGCCGGGTTAGGCACGGGTTAACTCGCTTTTTGATTTTTGTTTTTTTAATTTTGTTTTGTTTAATTTTGTTTAAGTTTAAATGTTTAATTAACTTTTCAAATGAATAATTAACAATTTATAAATGTAATTGTTTTTAGTTAATTGTTAATTTCTTTTCAAATATCAATAATTAAATTAAATTAATTTTTTTTTTGTTAACATTCCAAATATTAATTCAATTTTAATACATTAAAATTGTAATATAAGAATAATTAAATTTATTCATTTATTAAAAAATAAAATAAGAAATTACAATAATTATTGCCTCGTTAAAAACCTCACCAAGAAAAATCCAATAGGACAAAAACTTGGTAAGAAAAAAAGAGTGCTATAATTGACAATTAATTTGTCAAGTTAAAATTTACAAAGCAACTAATTTGGGGTTCACTAGGACCTCCCTCATCCGTATCATCTATATTACAAAATTGAAATGATTCTATCAAAGTATCGTCGACAACCTCGTATTGATCTTGATGGCGCGACCGTTCCCAATCTCAAAGACATGTGAGGACTTCAATCATTTGTGGTGAAAGTTTAGTCCTCATTTCATTTAAAATTCTTCCACTTGCACTAAATGTTTGTTCGGATGAGACGGGAACAGCGAAAATATCCAAGACAAGTCTTGATAATACCGAAAAAATACATTTTATGGCTCTCCAATAGTCTAAGAGATCAATGTTGGCTCTCTGTTGTAGATTTACTGGTAACATTTCAGGGGTTGCCAAATATTGTTGAAGCTCATTACTCTGCGACTGCATAGAAGACAGTACATTAGTTGTTGTTATTGGTGGAGCTTCTGAAGAGGAGGTTGTGCTTCGGATTCGTGTCCTCTTCGGCCTATTCAGTGCACCCCAAGAGTAGAAGTCTTCATTTGTTTCTTCTAATGCAGCTTCCCTGGATGTTTCGCCTCTTTGCGGGTTCCCATACCTGTTCTCATACTGGAAATATACTTAAAAAAGTGTATTTTTTACGTCTCCTATTTGATTGGCATATGCTTCGGTTTGTAAATTTTCATATAAATTGTCAAAACCATTTTCTAAACCTGCTAATTTAATTCTAGGATCAAATATAGCACCTAAACAATAAATAAAAGGAATGGGTTCCCAATATTTAAAAAAAAAAAAAAATTTCCATTGCCTTTATTGGTGCATTTAAAATTACATTGTCTTTGTTTTTTATAAATAACTCGGAAATTTTTATAATTGTATGTATTACCAATGGACTAGTAGGATAATACACACCAGAAAGTTGTAAAGTGGATTGGTAAAAAGTTTTAAGAAAAGAATGAAATACCTTAGCTCTTTGCCAATCATTTTCTACCAAATAATGAGGACCTCTATTATTTGCTACAAAATAACTAATTATATTAGCATAAGGTAAACATGAATTAAGCATTAAATAAATACTATTTTATCTAACAGGTATGTCTAATGCAAAAGTTCTAGGAGACATATTTGATTTTATATAAGCGTCTTGAAATTCGGCATTTCTTTTATTACTACTAGTAATCCAAGCTAAACAATCTCTAATTCTATTAATATTTTCTTTAATTGTTTTCATACCACTTTTTACAATTAAATTAATAACATGATATGCACAACATTGGTAAAAAAACTTCAAATTGTTATATAATGAATAATTACTTTGAAAATAATCTATAGCTTTACTATTAGAACTTGCATTATCTAAAGTTAAACTTATCACTTTCCTAATAATGTCATAATCTTTTAAAACTTCAATAATTTTATTATAAATTTGTTCACCACTATGATCAACATCCATTAATCTAAATCCTAATAAAGATTTATTTAATTTACATTCATTATCAAAATAATGACTAGTCACACAAATATAATCTTGTTTAGCTCTACCACTCCAAATATCGGCAGTTAGAGCCACACTAACATGACAAGTATGTATTTTATTTTTAATTATAATTTCATTTTTTTAAACAATTTTATTAAATCATTTCTAGTTGCAGTTTTAGAATAACTTTTAAATCCTGGAAAAAATGAATTTTGAACAAATCTTTCAAAATATTTATTTTCAGCCATATTAATAGGTTGATCAGTTGCAACAATATATAAAGCCAACTGTTCCCTATATACATCAGAATTATAATGCCAATTAGTACCCATCTTAGTTATTTGAGTTTGATTGCTTTCTCTATTTCCATGTTGATTAATATGTTTATTAGCATGCATTTTTAAAGTACTAGTACCATTACCTGAATTAGTTTTATAAATATTTCCACAGTATTTGCATCTCCCTTTTTTGACTTGAACGCCATTTTCTGTCTCATAAAACTTGTCGAAATGCGCCCAAACGTCTGATGTGTGTCTGTCTTTGCTTTCGACGGCAGTTGATGATCCTGCCTCAGCTTGAGATGAAGTTGGATGAACACGACGATTACGAGGATGACTTCTAGAACCACCGGAAGCTGTTGGAATCGGGGGCATATTTTGAGGTGTATCGGATTCTAAGAATGGGAAAGCGGGACTATTTGAATCTCCTCCTGCATTTATGTTAGTAAAATCAGCGGAACTAGGACTAGGATAGTAGTTTCCGTCATCATTGTAATTGATGGGAGAGAAATATCTATCCATTGTAGTTGAAAAAAAAAATTGATGTAGAAGAAATAAAATTAAAGAAAGAGAATTGGAATATGGAAATTGGAATTTGGAAAATTGGAAATATGAATTAAAAATTGCAAAAACTAATAAAAATTAAAATACGAGCAAATTTATAACAAAGAGGTTAAGAGAATAAATGAATAATTGAGAGATTAGAGATTAGAGAATATGAGAGAATTTGAGTTGTGAGAAAAATGTGAGAGTTTAGAACCAATTTATAGGAAAAAATGGGAAAGAAAAATGACGAAAAAGACCCATTCAATGGCTATATTTCAAGGGTAAAGGGGTAATTTGAAAAATAAAATAAAATAAAATGTTTTATTTTATTTATTTTATTTATTTTATTTTTTTCGGCCAACCCGACCGATTGGCGGGTCTCTTGCAAAAGAGACAAAACAGCAACCCATTAGGTTGCGGGTTGCCATTGTGCGACCCGGCCCGCCTGGGGGTTGCTACCGGATTAGGGTCAACCCGAGCCGCTATCTTGGCGGTTCGGGTTTAACCTGCATTTTTACGGGCCAGGTTAGGGTTGACCTGCCTAACCCGGCCCAAATGTTCCACCTTTAGTTAATTTAACTAAATACCTCCAACAAATTTTTTTATGAATTAACAAAAACACCCCCACCCACCCACATTTGTCAGATTCCAGTAATCATCGTCGAAAGGTGGCCGAAATTTGGTGTAATGGTGCACTATTGGCTCGATCTGGCCAGTAGTGCGTCGATCTGATCTTTTCCAGCCAGATCCATCACGTATTTCGCTGGAAAAGACTAGATCCACGGCCAACGTTGACGGCCAGATCCGTAGCCACATCTGGCCATCAATGACGGCTAATATATGATCATCGTTGACTATCAACAACGATCATATCTTTTTTCAAATGTGGCCAAAGATCTGACTGTTAACGACCAGATATTTGACCCTAGATCTGATATTTTTCAACCAAATCCGTGATGAATCTGACTGAAAAAGGTCATAACGGCACATGATTGGTCAATCTAACTAGTTGTGCACAATGACATCAGATTCCGATGGTGGTAATCGAAATCTAGCAAGTATAGGTGTGTGAGGGTATTTTGATCAATTTATAAACTTTTTATTATTTGGGTGTTTAGCTGAATTAACGTACCAAAATTTTTTATTTTATTTTCAAATCTTACAATAATATTTCAAAAACACACTTAAAATAATAAAACAAACCGCGATATTACATGTTGGAATCTGTTAAAATCCGAAAACGAAATAAAGAAAAACCGATCGTCTTCTCCGTGAAGGAGAGCCGGGCAGGAAGAGGAGCAGAAGGGGCCTTGGCTCCAAAAAAACAGATAAGAGCAAGAAAATAATTTCGGCGGCAAAACAAAATCTTGAGTTTTATAAGATTTTCAGCTGTTTCGGCAACTTAGGTCAGTGAGTTTCTCTTCGTATTGATTACAATTCTGTTTCAGATCAAAATCCGCCTTTAGGTTTTTGGTTTTTACCAATAAATATAATCTTCTTATTCTTCTCGTAAATAGTGTAGTTTTACTGTTATGCTAGGAAATTTTGAAACCTGAGGAGGATTGATTTATTAGCTATCAATGTAGTTTGGAAAATACGGTCGCTTTATTGATTTTAGGAAGTTAAAAGAGTACAAAGGAAGAGGAGGCTTAGAGGTTACCATAATATGATTAGTTGCACATGTCTATACGATAGGAACTGAATGTTAGTATACTGAATTAGCTTAAAATAAGGGTCCATTTGGCTTTGAATTCCATTACAATTCCTTGTTTTTGTAAATTAGGGATAAAATTTTTTTTAAGAAAACGATTTTGGTTGAAATGTTTTTAACAATAGTTTTCGAGTAAGAACCCTAAGAATTAGGGTAAACTCTGAAATTTTTGCTTTGTTTTTTAGTTGACCATCGTTTTTAATATTATATCAAACATGTTTTCAAGGGCACCATAGGCTTTTTAATCATCATCTTATTCTTTTTCACAATGGTTTATGTAAATGCTGGTGGCTTCATTTAAATGATTCTACAATAGAGTGGGGTTTCCCTTAGCTTCTTATATTTCTTGTACACCTTTTGCTCATTGGGCATGCTTAGTTATGCTTTAGAGTAGTGCAAAAAGAAAATTGACATGCCTGTCTTCTTTTGACATAGTGCCTTCATACCAAGAAATTTACTTGGTTGTCTTACATGTTTATTCTGGTGTATAAAAAAATTAGGTTAAAGTAGGTGAGTCCCTTTGATTTCTTGTAAGATATTTTGCTTCTCTTGCTATATTCTTTAAATCTAACTTGTGTTGACGTTTGGTTTAATTCAAATTAGGTTCTCAATCTGCTCATATAAATATTGACCATTTGATTATCATTCATTCAAATGATGGTACCTATTTCTGTGGGTGAAATGTGGTTGTTATGTGCAGGACTGCTGTGGCCTTCTCAGTTATGTCAGAAGCTCCTAAAAGTTTTGCTGCATCCAGAGGTCATGGTAAAGTAGGACCAGATTACTTTGGTTACTATACATGTGAAGTAAAAGAGCTCTTATCACAAGATGAAGATTTCCTGCCTTTTACTGTACAAACCCCTGAAATGAGTAAAAGAAAATGTGGCGAGGTCAGAGGCCAGGATACAATTGATGGTAGAGGTAGTGGTGCTAGTTCTTCTTTTAGTGACAGCATTGGAGCTGGGCTTTCAGATTTCAAAAAGGAAAGATTGAAGTCATTACTAAGGCAGGGTGTGTTTGATCTCACACCGGAAGTTGATGAGGTATTTTCAGCTTTCTACTCCTTTTTATACCCACAATTGGATTGTGGAAATATACTTCTAGATTTTGTTTTTGCACTTATGATATTAGTTCAACACTAATACTGATATATTGTATGCAATACTATTAGGTTGCAATGATTTTTACTTTGGTCCATTTGAAATGGACAGATTAGTGAAGTTTGTGATTTGATTGAGAACCATTATGTAAGTTATTTTGACCAAGAATTATTGATTGAATTATTAGGAATGAACCTTGGCAGTGATTAGATGATGTTTATTGATTGGGGTATACTCCTTGGCTTGGATTGGTTTGATGTCAGTCTAGTCCTTAAAAATGTGTACGTATTTGTAATGATCATTCATGCACATTTGATGAGACCTCAAGGAGACAAAGTTTATTTCCTTTGTAGTGAGCCAGGGTCATGGCTAGCCTGTTAACTAAATATATTCCTTCACAATTTAAAAGTTTCAATAATTGTTTAACATGTTGAATGCAGATGTTGGATCCTGTTATAGCCATGTGTCAGTTACAATCTCAAATCAGAAATAAGAAGTCTTTATCAAGTGATATTGGTACAGCATCCAAGGGTCATGCAGTGGAAGTTCCTTTTAAGAAACATAAGACATCTTCTTCCTTCTCCTCAACCAGCATCCCTGCACATCCCAATCCCCTCAATTCTGAATCTTGTAAAGAGGTTATTTTGCTTCTTGCTTTTTCATGGTGTTTGGTACTAATACTTTTACTGTTTTTACATGGTTGGCATTGTGTTCTTGGTATTATATCTTGAGAAATTCTCGTTGAGGTATCTTGTTTCCATCTTCTTGTCTTCTTTCTAGGTGGATGGTGATTTGCAGTTCCTTCTAGAGAATGACAGCTTGCAGGTTGAGGAGATGTTGAAAAAATATTTTGATGAACTCTCAGCAACAGTAGGCTTCTGAATTTTAATCTAATGTTTTGCAAATAGTATAATATTTCTGTATTTAGCAATGCGTCTATGGCTCAATTTCAGGACTATCTTTTTAACTTTACGGTTCCTATAGTATGAACAGTGAGTCATTTGTACATTATAACTAAACTGAAGTTAAATTATCATTTTCTAGCTAGGGCACATGGAACAACAGCTTGAAGAACTTCTTAATGCTGTGGTGTCAAAGTGCAGGTATTTTTATTTTTATTTTTTTCACGGAATTTGTTTAAATGTAAGTTAATTATGTGTTTTCCAAAACTATATTGGCTCATGGGATCTATTGGTTTCAAGAGTCAAGAATTAAGATAAGATCAGATCAAATTGCAATTTAAATGTATATTTACTTCTAAGATATGGTCACTGATGCTAATGACTTCGTACAAAACTTGTGTGAAGAAATAACACTTAAGGTGCTCATGCACATGCATTCATACCTAATAATAAGATATTTATCTGGTTTCCTTCACCCATGTCATCTAAAAGGCTAAATGTTATGTCTCATGTCTTATGTCAAAGTTTTCGCCGTAGGCGATGTCTATCTATCTGTTATTACCATATCCTTCACATCACATGTCACTCTTACATTGGAAGAGACATCTGGGTAAAAAATTTGGGATAAAACTTAAGATGTGTAACATTACTTCAACTATTAACAGTTAATTGATCAAAGATTCGTTTGGGGAGTAATTAAAACAGGAGCTTAGGACATTCTAACTTTCTCCAAATTTAATTATCCCAGTCTATTTTATATTATACGGAAAACCAGTTTAGGATAATGCTTGTCCTCTCCACTTTTTCTTTTGAGTGCTAGTATCTGAGTTTTTAGTTCCTGCTTAAATTGGTTAATAGTAAAAAAGTGGGTATCTTTTTGTGTTTTATGTACCGTGGTTTTATGTTTAGTGTTTTGCCTTTACTTAGCATGTTAGGGCATTTAGCAATCTTAGCTGTATTGTTGTGCTGTCCTCTTGTTTTCCTGTTGGATACATATAAAATGGCATATTTTAACACCTTTTTCTGCTTGACTCAAATTTTGAATTCCAATCTACAGACCTATGACACTTTCTGAGAAGCACGAGCTTCGGAAAATGATTCAAAAGCTACCGCCGAATAACCTTGACCGTGTCGTTGAAATTGTCCGACATAATAAATCGGCAGAACCCCAATCTTCTGATGAATATTTTGTTGATTTAGAAAAAGAGGTAAAGAACCAACAACATGACATCAATTGTGAGTCTATATAGAATTATTAATCCTTTGCAAAATATTGTTTTTCAGGATAATATAACACTTTGGAGACTGTATTACTATGTTAAAGCAGTTCAGAAAGCTAGGGAGCTCTTAGCGTAGCTAACTCTCTTAATAGCGATGTCATATTATTGACAAGAATGTTGACATAACTTCGCAACACCAGTGCAGTTAGTTGATCAAGACAACATCAGCTTCTCACTCTCTTAAAAGCAGCTGTCTGGACTTCACAGGCAATTGTTGATTTTCTGAATTCTTCAAATGATTTCTCTGGAGAGTCCTAACTAGAGTATACATATTGAGTTCTTGTTTTGAGTAAATACAGAAAAGAGGCGTTATACCTCACCATTATCTGTTACCGAGAGCAAGAACATTCTTTTTGTAGTGCCTACAGCCTTGGTTCGATGATTGATTCTAGCATTATACTTTGGATGGTATAGGTTGAAAATTTGTGTTTTCGTACATTACGTAAATTTTGAAGAGGATATACATTTAGTTTTTAGTCTAAATTTGTTTTTCCATAATGTCAGTACTGATGTTAGGGTTGCTTTTACATCAAGATTACACCTTGAGTTGTATGACGTTTACAGCTCCCAACGATTTTCTTTGTCCTGCTGTTAATGGTATGAAGATCACTTAATTTGAGTTCTTGTTATTAACTACTTATGGTTTCATATTCATCTAATTTTAGATGCTGAATTAATGTTTGTTTTTCTGACTTTCATTCCAGCAGTTGACTACTGTTGAGATGAAAATGAAATGCAGCTTGTAAGCTTAATTTATGATGGAATTAGTCACAGTGAATGGTTATGGACTGAAGTCTCTATCTTTATCTCACCTTTTTACTCGTTCCTTTTGCAAGGATCAAGCAAACATAGATTGTGAACTAATGGGTCGCACTTGATAAGTGATGGAACCTCCTGTAAAATAAATCTAAACGTCAACCGCAATACGCAAGAGCAATAGCAAACAAAATGCGCACTCTGATAGAACTGAAATAGTATTAATAAATGATTGAAATAACAATTGAATAAGCAAAACACTCAACAGATAGATTCCTAGCAGTTCAAGGAGCTGGGGAGCCTCCCTTGAGGGAACTGGGTGTTGATGACCTTATCTTGCCAATGGATGAGGACGTCCTTGGAACCATAGAAAAGGGTCTGCATAGCTAGGACCTTGGTTGGTTGAACCTGGAGTTCTAGGTCTTCCGTGAGAAAAGAGGGCAAAGGTTGAATGGGTATTGAACTGTGCAGGCTGCGTTTCAGTTGTGAAACATGAAAAACGGGGATGAATACGGGCTGTGGGGGGTAGTTCCAGCTTGTAGGCCACCTGACAGATTTTTTCCAGCACCCTGAAAGGCCCATAAACCTTGGACTAAGTTTTTCATTTAATTTTTTGGCTAGGGACTTAAATTTTTAGGGCTGGAGCTTAAGGTAAACATGATCACCTAGAGAAAATTGGATATCCTGTCGGTGGTGGTCTGCATGTTCTTTCATATGGACTTGTGCAATTTCCAGGTTGTGTTTGAGTTCTTGGATGATGGCATTGCGCTCAAGAATCAGGTGGTTCACATCCTCCATTGGAGAAGGGCAATCGATGAACTTAAAAAGGATCAGTGGGTTACGACTGTATAGAGCTTTGAAGGGAGTCATCTTGGTTGAACGATGATATGTCGTGTTGTACCAAAATTTAGCCTAAGACAACCAATTTGGCTAGTGATGAGGCTGTGAACTGCAGAAACAACGTAGATATGCCTCTAAGCATCTATTCACCACTTCGGATTGGCCATTCGTTTGCGGATGGTAAGCAGAACTGAATTTCAAAGCTGTCTCAGAAACTCTGAAGATTTCCTGCCAAATTGGCTCATAAAAAGTCTGTCTCTGTCAGAAATTATGGACTTTGGAAAGCCATGAAGCTTCACAATCTCCTTCATAAAAACCAAGGCCACCTCTTTGGCATTGTAAGGGTGGGATAGGAGAAGAAAATGGCTGTACATGGTCAGTTTATCCACTACCACCAAAATGTTATTGAACCCCTTAGCCCAAGAAAGGCCGCCAATGAAATCCATTGTCAAATCATCGAATGATTGAGACGGAATGGATAGAGGTTGAAGCAGCCCCGTAGGTTTCAGAGTTGAATGCTTGTTGACTTGACATATGGAATTAGTTTTCACAAAATTCTGAACATCCCTCTTAATGCCTACCCAATAAGCCACGTTTGCCACCTTTTTGTATGTCCGAAAGAATTCAGAATGACCCCTTGCTGGACTTGAATGAAATTCAGTCACTAACTTAGGAATAAACCATGAGCCCTTAGGCAAAACTAAACTACCCTTGTACAATAAACAACTAGGGCGGAGCTTGTAATTGGGTCAATTGTTTGGATCCATAATCAGGTCCTGAATAAGGTGTTGAAGCTTGGGATCTTGTTGAGCTTCATTTGCCAAGTCCTCATATTCTACAAACTGGGTCACTGATAGAGAATTCAGTTTTGGTCCCTCCTCTCTTTTGGATAAGGCGTCATCCACCTTATTGGCGGTTCCCAACCAATAATGGATGTCAAACGTAAAACCCATCAGCTTGGACAACCATTTCTATTGCTCCAGAGTCTTAATCTGCTGATCCTTGAGGAATTGGAGACTTCTTTGATCAATTTTGATGATGAACTTCCTACCCAACAAGTAAGGACTCCATTTGTGCACCGCAAAGATGACGACCATTAACTCCCTCTCATAGACTGATTTCTATTTAGCTTAGGGTGAACATACCTTACTCAAGTAAGCGATGGGATGGGATTGTTGGACTAAGACTACCCTATGCCTTGGCCTGATGCATTTGTTTGCACCTCAAAAGGAATCTTGAAATTAGGGGTTGCAAAAACCGGGATAGAGGTCATAGCCTCCTTAAGCTTTTCAAAGGCCTGTTATGCCTCCCCACTCCAATAAAAGGAGTCTTTCTTGAGCAACATAGTGAGTGGTTGAGCTATACTCCCATACCCTTTAACGAACCTACAGTAGTACCCCATTAGCCCCAAAAATCCACATAAACTCTTCACATTTGTTGGAATTAGCCAAGAAACCATAGTTGCAATTTTCTGGGGTCGGCCTCTACACCTTTAGCTGAAATTAAGTGACCCAAGTACTCTAGTTTCTGCTACCCAAATAAACATTTCTTCTTATTTACTACCAAGTTATTCTCTTCCAATATCCGAAGGGCTTGTTGGAGGTGTGTTAAGTGGGACTCCAAATTCGGGCTGTAGATGATAATATCATTTAAAAAAAACCAACACAAACTTCCACATGACTAGCTTAAAGGTGGTGTTCATCAGTGACTGAAATGTGGAAAGGGCATTGGTCAAGCCGAAAGGCATGACTAGGAACTCATAGTGTCCTTCATGCGTTCGGAATGCTGTTTTGGGAATGTCATCCTCCTTGACTCTAATTTGGTGGTACCTCGACCTAAGATCCAACTTCGAGAATATTGTTGCTCCCACTAATTCGTCCAACAACTCTTCGTTGGTAGTAATAGGGAATTTGTCGGGGATGGTTATTTCATTGTGGGCCCTATAGTCTACACAAAACCTCAAACTTCCGTCTTTTTTCTTGACTAACAACACCGGGTTGGCGAATGGGCTAGTACTAGACTGGATAATTCTTGCTGCTAACATCTCTTTCATCAACTTTTCAATTTCATTTTTCTAGAAATAGGGGTACCTATAAGGTCTAATGTTGGGGTGTTAGGCTCCCTCTTTAAGGATTATGGCATGGTCTTGAGGATGTTGTGGGGGTAGTTTGGATGGCTAATTGAATAGGTGTGTATACTAATCCAAAACTGCTACAACTCTAGGATTGACATCCTTTTCTTTTGGTACAATCCTACTCTCAATCGAACAACATTCTACCAAGTATCCTCCCCTTGTGTTACTAATTGACCGTAACATGGATTTAAGGGAAACCACTGTCTTCACCAAAGAGGGATCTCCCTGTAAGCTAGCTCTGGCACCATCCACCTCAAATTTCATTGTCAAATTCTTCCAATTGGCACAAAAATCGCCTAATGAACTCAACCACGTAACACCCAACACAACATTAGCACCTCCTAACTCAAAAGGGAAAAAATCCTGCACAATTCTAACCCCCTATACCTCCAAATGAACCCTTTTACACACCCCATCACCCTTCATTGTGACCTCATTGCCCACCATAACTCCAAACAACTTCCCTTTTTCAACCGAAATTCCCAATCTATGCACCAACTCATGGGAAATAAAATTAGGGGATGCCCCACTATCAACTAGCACCACCACATCAGTCTCCCTAATTTGCTCCCTAACCTTCAAGGTTTTGTCAGAATTTATACCCACAATAGAATTCATAGATAAGGCCAAAGCATTACCTTCTGAGTTGGGTATCTCATTGTCATCAAGAGTGGGTTCAACTTTCTCAGAGTTGTCATCTTCCCATGCCAACATAATCTATAATGACTTGCTCTTACAACAATGATTTGGGTCAAACTTTTCATCACATCGAAAACAAAGTCCCCTTTCCCTCTTATACTGGTTATCGACCTCCGAAAGACACTGAAAATTCTCTCCTCTAAAGCTCGAAGCCCCTGTCTCTGACATTCTCTCTCTTCTATCTGGTGGTTGTGTCATTGTAAAGTGGAAGGTTTCTAGGTTTTTTGATGAATTGGGCCACCAAATGGGTCGGGTTAGATTTGGGCCACTGGATACTTTAGAATAGGGCTCTCTTATCCTTTTGGGCCTTAAAGAACTTGAGCTAGCATTTGTCAAGAACCCAATTTTTTTCCTCCACCCTATAGGCCTACTCAATAACCTCTTGAAGTGAATTGGGCCTTAACAACCTCAACTCAACTCTAATCTCCTCTTTAAGCCCATTGCCAAAGACACCCATTAATATTTCTTCACCTAACTCTTCAACAGCGCCGTGTGAAATAAATCCAAACACCAACCACAATACACACGAGCAATAGCAAACAAAATACACACACTGATAGAACTGAAATAGTATTAATAAAGGATTGAAATAAGAATTGAACAAGCAAAACACTCAACATATAGATTCTCAACAGTTCGAGGAGTTGGGGAGGCTCTCTTAATGACCTATGAAGAATTTACTTGATAATCACCTCCTACTCTCTCTCTTGACCATATACTAATTATTCTATATTAACTGACATCAAATCCCTCCTCTAAATATCAGCCACGAGTATATTCTTATAACAAACTCGTTCAGACTCTCTACACTCATTGCCTCTTCACACTCACTGCCCTTTACGCCTATTCTTGCCTTTCAATTTATAGATCTTGCTAATGAGTGGTCTATCAATAAGAGAAAAAAGAAAATGATAATTGCACTTGCAGTTATGTGTAATTCCAATGGTGTTTCGTTATTATTCAACAGGGGAAAAAAGTGAAGAAAACTTGGAACATGAAAAATTTTCAAATCTACTTCAAAACTCATCGCTAGTATGAATAATNCAATTCCTTTCCTCCTCACTATAGGCTTGTTCCATAACCTCACTTAGTGTGTTGGGCTTCAGCAGGCGTAATTCAGCCCTGATCTCTTCCCTTAACCCATTAACAAATATGCCCATTAACATTTCCTCTCCAAACTCCTTCAATGGTGCCATGTGAGATTCAAACTCCTCCCTATATTCAGTCATCGACAACGTCTGTTTTAGCGCCACCAATGCTTCATGCGCAGTCCCCTGGAACGATGGCCGGAATCTGGCGATTAAGGCCTCCTTGAATTCCCTCCATGACTTGAATGGCTCCCGTGACTCTACCCATTGATACCAATTCAAGGCTCTTCCCTCCATGCACACGGCGGTAGCTTCCAGGATCTCCGTTTTTTCATAGCGATTAATGGTGAAATATCGATCGCCTTGAAAGTCCACCCAAAGGGATCATTCCCATTAAAGATCGACAATTCAAGTTTACGAATCCTCCTGTCCTCCTTTTCAGTATCACCACTGTGGTCTCGTTCATGTCCCCTGTCACCGTCGGAATTTTGATTCCCAGAAAACGATGATGATTTCTCCTTCTCCCGGTATCGTTTTTCATCCTCTCCTCCCTCATACGCATTAATTCTCGCATTTCCGTCAGATACTCCTTAACACTATCCAAATTGACCTTCATCGTACTCATATCTGCCTTCACCATTTTCATTTCCTTTTCAACATTATCTATTCTATTCTCTATCTTTGATTTTACCATTACCCAAGCAAGCTTTGATACCAATTTGATGGAACCTCTTGTCAAATTGATCCAAATCCAACCACAACAACACAAAAGAGCAAATGGCAAGATAAAACACCAGCTGATAGAAACTGAATTAGTATTAATAGAATGATTCAAATAACAATTGAAGAAAATAGCACCCAAACATATAGATTCCCAGCAGTTCAAGGAGCTGGGGTGCCTCCCTTAATGACCTATGAAGAATTTACTTAAATACCTATCTCTCACTCTCTCTTTAACTATATACTAATTATTCTTTACTAAGTGACCTTAATTCCATAACTCTTATATTCAGCCACGTGTATATTCTCTTAACAAACTCTACTTCACACTTCTTCACACTCACTGCCCTTAATGCCTATTCTTGCCTTTCAACTTATAGACCTTACTAATAGGTGGTCTATCAGAAACAAAGTAAATACTGAGCTCATTTTTCTTAGTAATGTTATTTTTGAAAAGTTTTGGCAATCAAGATCCATAAGGAACTCTTGATGCAATGAACATTAGGTACTTCAAAAAGAAGACTTAGGATTATCAATTTGTTTTAAAAGATGAAATTATGTTTCAATTAAAATCGTTTTTGGTTTTGTAATTTAATTTCAAGTTGGGTCATTTTGATCATATAATATCAGACTGGGTTGGACTCAGTTTTGTAGGTTTATTTCGGTATAAGTTTTATCATTCTGATGGGTTGGTCTTTGAGCGTTTCTAGTCCTGCATGAAGAAGACTTTTTATCAGCCTATTCTTAAATGTTAGAAAAAAACCTATAGTTCATAGCTGTAATTGAAGTTTTCCTTATCTATTGAGTTTTCTTAGCCTAAAAATCATATGCAGCTTTGAAGTTGATAGGTATAAGAGAAAAGTGATTTAAATTTAATTTTTTGCATTTGCATCTGTATCTATTATTTAAGATTTTACAGGTACTTCTCTCTTTAATATGTATGGTGTGTTTATGAAAGAGGTTATCATGATTGTGTAAACCCACATCACTATGGGGTGAAAGTTTAAAATTTGAACCTTTTTTTTTCCCCATAAATACATAATATCAATACAGTTCTAATGTTATGCACTGTTATAATTTTGAGTTTCCAGTATTGTGTATATTATTGCTAATTTTTAATTTTAGTTGTGCTATGGCTGAATAAATTTCTACTTGATTACACTGAATGATATTTGATTTTCAATTTTAAAGAGGTGTTTGCAACAGTCCTATGTACTTTTATTTATGTTTTAGTTGGTTGTTATTGTTGTTATTATTTCATTTTTTGTTTATAATTTTTCTTTTATCCCTTCAATACTAAAGTGTTTACAGTTCTAATCAATATTAGTGTCTGCAAACTTATTCAGGATCAAGTACAGTATAAGTATCATTGCTGATAAAGGACTAAAAAAGCCTCTTTATACATCTGCACGTTTGAAGAAGGGAGAAGTTCTTTATTTAGAAACACATTCATGCAGGTATTTTTCTAGTCTTTTTTATGTGTGTTGCTCCTGTAGCATGATTAATTTCATCTGGGATTCTGAAATATGACGATTTATCTTAATAAAATTGTGTAATCAGTTGCTTTCTGCTTTTGTGTTTAATTTTTTTTATTTGTTTTATTGTCATTATATCTTTTAATGCCTCCTAGTTCCTACAACAAATATCAAATGAAAGAAATGATACTTGGATTACTCTCTTTGTGTCATCATGGGATTAATTTATTTGCCTTGTTGTGTAATTTGTGGCATTACTCTCTTTGTGTCATCATGGGATTAATTTATTTGCCTTGTGATGTAATTTGTGGCACAAAATCAAGCAATTCCTTGCTTAAATTCTTTTTGCTTTTTCTTTCCTGGAGTAGCTAGGTTCCAAATATAAGTTTCTCATGTTCCTTGGGCAATTGCTAAGTTGATAGAATTGGATTACACCTATATTTCTATGGACAAGTACATGCACCTTTGAATTCTAAATCCTTTTGTTCTTTTGGTGTGCAATTGATTTTCATTTTTCATTTCTCTCTAATACAGAAATAATCAGTTATTTATATTCTGTTTGTTGTGCTTTAAAGAAAGCTGATATATATTTACACATATCACATAATTTTCTTCAAATAGGAATTTCTGGAACCTCAAGCACGTATGACTTCTACTCTTTGATAATTTTTCTAATCTTGAGTTGTTATCTGAAGGTATGAGCTCTGTTTTACGGGAGAGAAGATGGTCAAAGCTGTGGCAGGATCTCAGTCACATGATTCAGATACAGATAAGTCTCAAAATCATCTCTCAAACTTTGCAAATGGTGAAAAGAATGAAGGTGATAATGCTATGATAGATGTTTTTCGTTGGTCTCGCTGCAAGAAGCCCCTTGCCCAAAAGGTCATGCGTTCTGTTGGGATCCCACTGCCACTTGAACATGTGGAGGTACTTCATCTCATAGTCTTTTTCATTACTGTTGCATGATTAGAACAAAGAAAGGCAGGAGCTTTTCAGTGGCACTCTGTTTGGACTGTTCCATAAAAGAATTGGATAAAAGATTCTGGTTTCATAAGAACAGTCAATGAATTGAACGTCTGTGTTTGATGTTGAACAGGTTATAGAAGAGAATCTTGACTGGGAGGATGTGCAGTGGTCACAAACGGGTGTTTGGATAGCTGGAAAAGAATACAGCCTCGCTCGGGTGCATTTTGTATCTTTGAACTGACTATTTATTTTGTTTGTGAGAATTATGTACAAGTACAACTATTTGTATGAAGCTAAGATTGATTTTCAGAATGCAACGTCTAAATAATATATAAGTTATTTTCATGATCTGGGCAAAGTCTTTTAACCGCTAAGGATTAAGAAACGAAGAGAAGGGTTTGGCGTTGGAAGTGCTATGAGTTCAAAGTTTGCGTGTTACCAGTTTATGACAATTGGTAGATTGATATTTTGCTCTTTAGTGAATAGGGATCTGATGACTGTCAAACGTCTGGTATCATTTTTACTTTGGGGAAGGTTGAATTTTTTATTCAATTTTATTTATTTATTTCTTTTGCATAGAATAATAAGGGAATTTGTTTTCAAAATAAGTCTTGATTTATTGGTTGTTAAATTTGTATTAATAAATAAATGGGCTTGCAACTTTTTAAAATTTAGGAGATATTGGTCTAAATCACAGTCAATTTATCCTTCAGTAACCGAATAATTACTCTTCTAATTGAAAATAATCTATATAATTGCTACATGTTTAATAGAATTTGTATTGATCAATATGAAATAATACAAATGCCACAGGATTCCATAGTTCTATTGCATACAACTTCTTAAATTCCAATGGAGTTGTTCTTTCTTTTTAGTCAACAACATAGAAGAAAAATTGTTTTTGTGTATTCGTTTGCAACATTTTAAATTTAAAAATGTTATTAATGATATATAATAATTAATAGGTTCTTTAGGTATACTTAAACTACAAATTCCTTCTCAACTTATAGATACGATAGCAATATCTCTACTGGTAATTTTTTTAGTGTTAAAATATAGGGATAACGATAATTTCCCACCCAAGGCTTGGCGTTATTCTTTTTCCCACCAAGTTTGAGAAAAACAATTTCCCAGCCATCTTTCAGATCTATTAGTGACATGGTATAGGTGACATGGTATAGTCACTATTAAGATAAAAATACCCTTTACTATTTGAATTCGAATCCAAATCCGTACCCAAACCCAAACCCAAATCTCAACGCTCCTCCCAAACCCCAACCTAGATCCCTTCCCTCTTTCCTTCTCTTTGTCTCTTCCCTGTCTCTTACCTCTTGTTGCAACACTTCTCTTCTCTTACCTCTCTCTCTACAACACTTTGGTTCTATTTTCTTCTCAAAAGGAAACCCTAGCTGCCATTCCACTTGAGCTTGCAACTGTCGGCAGCTAGTGCAACACAACCTTGGTTCAGCGGGTAAAGGCAAGCACTATCGGCAATGGAAACCATCAATTATAAATCAAGTCTCAAGTTACCACAAAAGCTTTATGAATCCGGCCATCAAGACACACAACTCTACACATCCAACCATTAACACACACAAACTCCATGAATCCAATGTTAAAGTGGATGCCCTAGAGCCAATCCACATATTGTATTTTGACTCTTTGTGTCATGTTTATAATTAATAAAAGACATTTTCTACATCTTGTAAATCCTATTTAATTATGTTGAGCCCAAATGTGTTTTGATGTGCCGAAACTAATTGAAAGATTGGTTGGATTCTAACAAGGTATGACTTATGTCATAACCCAAAAAAATTGCAGATTTTTCCTTATTGGAACGCCTGTTCAAATTAGTCGAACACCCATTCCTTCCTTTATAAATTTCCTAGGAAGTCGTTCCAAATGGAACGACATTGTTCCTATGCCCGTTCACAACTGTGCCAAGTTTTCTACTTCAAGTGATCAAGTCGTTCCAAACCAAATGACCACAATGAACACCCATTCACAACAGAATGACCAAGATGAACGCCCGTTCAATAGAGAACGACCTGGAAGAGTGATCAAGTTGTTCCAAGTCGAACGACCAGAATGAAGGCTTGTTCAATAAAGAACGACCAGGATGAATGACAGTTTGTCATGCCCGTTCCATAGTGAATGACATCGTTCCACTCATCATTCATGGCTTTGGAATCTTAACGTGAGTTTGCTATCAAAGAATGAACGCCCGTTCCTAGTGGTGGAATGTCTGTTCTAATCAAAGTCAAGATTTACGGTTAGAAGATTTAAGCTCAAAGCAAATCTTGGGATTCAAGTGTCAAACTTGAACAACCTTGACGAATGCCCGTTCCAGAATCCTTGAAGATCGTTTCATGAAGGAACGATATCATTCCAGTAAGCTGCTCAAGGCTCTAGAAATTATGGACTTGAATGAACCAACGATGAACGACGTTTTGTTAGTGTAAGTGCCTTAGAGCTAATCTTATTTGTATAAATTGACTCTTTGTAATATCATATTAATAATCAATAAAGGCATATTTTACTATATCATGTTACACATTACTTTATGAATTGATATATTTCCTTAGAATGGTAGAACTGTGACAAGAAAATCAAGTATTTTAAATCTTGATTGTGAGGACCCTATAATCACCTAAGGTGGATATTCTATAAATTTTTGTAGTCTCGGTATTATTCTGACCAATAGCACAGATAATATGGTAAGACTGTCATAATGTTAAACGACCCTATCGAAAGGTAGTGACAGTTCTCACATGTCAAGGTTGTTTGGAGACAACTTGGTGCAACGCATGGGTGCTTGTTGTCTGCAAGTTCACTTGACTAACCTACCAGAGGATTTCATATAGATGGTAACCCCATTGTCTATGGAATATTTTCTCAAACGAATGATGATGCATGTGATCCTTAGACTTGAGATCACTAGGGCGTCGTGTGTAAATATTGGTGTAGTTTGACATTAGTCTAATGTAATTCTCTTTAGGGTTATTAGTACGGTAGTAATTGATTATATTGAGAAGTACACTATGGCTATGGTGTAATGCTTTCTCTCTCTAGCTAGTATACTCATAAAATAATAGTAAAACTCACTATATATATATATNAAATCTTGGGATTCAAGTGTCAAACTTGAACAACCTTGACGAATGCTTGCTCCAGAATCCTTGAAGATCGTTTCATGAAGGAACGATATCATTCCAGTAAGCTGCTCAAGGCTCTAGAAATTATGGACTTGAATGAACCAACGATGAACGACGTTTTGTTAGTGTAAGTGCCTTAGAGCCAATCTTATTTGTATAAATTGACTCTTTGTAATATCATATTAATAATCAATAAAGGCATATTTTACTATATCATGTTACACATTACTTTATGAATTGATATATGTCCTTAGAATGGTAGAACTGTGACGAGAAAATCAAGTATTTTAAATCTTGATTGTGAGAACCCTATAATCACCTAAAGTGGATATTCTATAAATTTTTGTAGTCTCAGTATTATTCTGACCAATGGCACAGATAATATGGTCAGACTGTTATAATGTTAAACGACCTTATCGAAAGGTGGTGATAGTTCTTACATGTCAAGGTTGTTTGGAGACAACCTGGTGCAACGCATGGGTGCTTGTTGTCTACAAGTTCACTTGACTAACCCACCAGAAGATTTCATATAGATGGTAACCCTAGTGTCTATGGAATATATCCTCAAACGAATGATGATGTGTGTGATCCTTAGACTTGAGATCACTAGGGCGTCGTGTGTAAATATTGGTGTAGTTTGACATTAGCCTAACGTAATTCTATTTAGGATTATTAGTACGGTAGTGATTGACTATATTGAGAAGTACACTATGGCTATGGTGTAATGCTTTCTCTCTCTAGCTAGTATACTCGTAAAATAACAGTAAAACTCACCATATATATATATATATATATAAGAAAATATACATGTAGATGAGTATAAAATAATGGGCCCATAACTTATACAAATCTTTACATAATGTAATAAAGCCACAAAACATCAACTCGATAGTGTTGCCAAACCCTTCCGCTTCTTGACGTTCCAAGCGACCGCATCTCACCTACTACCTACAAAAACATTGAAAACAATGGGATGAGCACTAATTACTCAGTAAGTAAATCCGCTACGCTACTCTTCTATCTCTGTTGCTCATATTCTGAATTTCTTTCCTTACATCACACTTCTCTATTCTTCTTTGTTCTTTCTCTGTTTTTTTTTTTTTTTCAATTTCTAATTTCTCACTACTCATGATAGTAGGCATGGTATCGTGCATAGGTATGATGCAAATGCACAAATGCATAGGATGTGCATTTTTTTTTTTTCTGTTTTTCTATTTTCTGTTTCTTTTCTCTGTATTTCTTTCGATGCTTCCTTCCTTTCTATTCTTTCTTTCTTTCTATTCTTTTCTTTCTTTTCTATTCTTTCTTTTCTTTTCTTTTCTATTCTTTCTTTCTTGCCGATCGGACTCGGTTGAGGCATGGATTCGGAACCCTGACCGTGTAAGTGTATTCTCTAATTCTGGGTACAGTCCTCATCCACATGCACTTCTAACGGACTATATAATTCTTCTTTCTGATTCTGAGGCCGCTCACTAAAGGCGGCGTGCATGTAGGGCTAGGTCACTCACGGGTTCCCCATCGCAACAACCTTCTCTTCTCTTCTTTTTTTACACTTCTTTAAATAAAATTTCAGATTTGAATTATTCTTTAATCTTTCTCTTTATTCTTTGTTCTTTAATGCTCTTATGAGTACGTATGCATGTAGATAGGCTCATGCTTATTATTCTTTCTAAATTCACATGTTTGGATGGAATAATGCAATATGGAATGTGAACATGTCATTCTCTACCATCTACAAACTCATCTCAAGATAACAAATAATCATCCTCATGCATGCACTTCTCTTTGACATTTCATCAAACAATTTATATGCACACACAAACTCTAAATTGGCTACACTTCTACATCTCTTCTAAGCCACCAAAATTTGGAATCAAACACACTAAAATCAATGTCAAACCTGGCCAGGATTTACACTTCATAAATTCTACTCCAATTCTTTCATAATTCATCCAAACTCTCATCAAACATCAAGTACACAAATAATACTTCTCATAGATAAATTCTAACCATCATTCAACATCCATTCCATCAACAATTCTTCATATATAAGCACATACATGCATAAAAGAAGTTCTCTACACAATATTGCTCCAATCATGACTAGTGTTGGATTTACTTACCTTAGATGTGAGCAATCCAACACTTTAGTAGTCTTCCTTGATCCAACTCCTTTTTCTTAAATCTATGAACACAAATCATAAGAATTCAACATTTAAAAATTAAATCTACACTTAGTGCAAAGATTTTACCTAAGGATGCTTGGGATTGAAATTCCAATAAAAATAAAACAAGATCTATGAATTTTCCTGAAAAATGATTGAAAAATTTGAGAGAACTTGGGTGGAAAGTGGCGTAATGGAAGGGGAAGAATAGCTAGGGTTTCATTCTTGAACTCTTATATAACAAAATATTACTTATAGTTTTCATTTTACCCTTGCACATTCTATGAAATTTCATCTATGTCTCTAGTCAATTATCATAATGCCTATTTTATAATTTCTAGTTATTCTACTTTTTTCACTCCCACTTTTTCAACTAATATGAGTGAAAAACCATTTTACCCCAATGAAATTTTAAGACATTTTCTTCACAATTTTCAAGATAACTTAACAATTCAATTAAGGGTATTAGGGCATAAATAAAGCTTCGTACATGATGTGGGCGGACATGTGGTGAATAGGGGGAAAAAAAAAAACACCAAGAACCAAACCGTACCAGAAAATCAATCGATAAGAATGAAATCAATTTTTTTAAACTGGTTGATTTTAGTTCGAAGAATTGGTTGAACTGGTTTTCTAGTTCGGTTTTTGGTTCAATAATTTGAGAAACCGGTTTTTCAAAATTCCTAAATCTTAGACCAAAACCGCTAAACCCATTTCTTCTTTCTTCTTCTTCTATGTTCCTCTTTATTCCGTTTTCTCTCTTTTTTTCTTCTTCTTCCTCCTCCTTTCTCATGCCCCTCTCTTTCTCCTTATTCTTTCTTTTTTTCTTCTTCTTCTCTTTCTCTTCCTTTCTTTTCTTTCCACTTTGTTCAGCCTCTCTTCTTAACCATCGACGAGGAGACCCAAATGCAGTTCGCAGCTTCCTTGTTGGAGTACTTGCTTCTCTGTATTAGTGAAACTATTGTCATCCACCCACATCTCAATGTCCAGGAACTCATAGCTTTGTGATGTAACTGGCCATGTGTTTAAAGGTGAATCCACCCACATCTTGAAAATGCTTTGTAAACGAAATAGATGTATTTGTGGCACTTTCTGCTTTGATGTTTTGGAAGGTTTCGACTAAGTTCTTGAAAATTGTTCTTGTTAATATCCAAATAAATTTAAAGTTTGCTTGCGTTCGTCGACCTCTTTTTTTTTTCATCTTCTCTACTTTCCTTGATTTTGCTCTTCTAAGGCTTATTTCTGGATGTCAACGTTTAAATCTAACTTTCTTAATATTAAAAAAATGATGTAAATTGTTTTTACTTGATGTTACTGAGCCTGAATTAGCTATGAGCATCTTGTGCATAAAGTAAAAAATATAGGAGTGTTTAAGGGAATTATTGATTTGATGTTAATAAATATGAAGAAGGGAAAATTTAGAAATTAATTAAAAAAAAAAATGTTTCAAAACCGGTTATCCGGGTTTTCAAAACAATAACGGTTCCTTTAAAACGTTCAAGCAGTTTTGGTTTGGATTTCTGCTTGAACTGATTTTCATTGGTTCAAAAAATGCCCAAACGGTTTGGTTAACCGGTTTTCCCACCCTAATGGTGAATCGACCAAGGGTTCATCACTCCTAGGTACAGAGAAATTATCTCAATAGCTATTTGGTAAATGACAACGACCGTAAATCTTGGCCACAGTGGAATTGATAATCTCAAATCCAATTTTATTTAGTCGTTGGTCTGGTATCCGAATGCGAATATATAAAGTAATATATTTGAAGTTGACATTATTTTGTACTCAAATCTGATAAGATAAAGAATGATGAAGGGATTAGATTGTAAGTAACTATGCCCTGTCAGGATCAGTTCTTCATGATCTCTATATGTTAGGTAACCATGATGTCTTGCTAGAGGTAATCTTAATTTATGTAGTAGACAATTATTGATGATAATGTGATACTCTTATGCGAACATTATAGAGAGCTAGAGTACATACTTAGAAGACAATTTGAGGTTTATCATGAATAAAGACAATTTCTCTTTTAGGAGAAAATGGTATTTGGTAATTTGTTATGCAATTAAATGTGTGAGTTGTTGTCTAATTCTAATTTTATATTGGAATTGTAATATATATGATATTTAATAAAATAATATATATAAATAAAAATAAAATATAAATATAAATAATTAAGTTTACTAATTAATTAAATAATTACCATATTGGCATCCCACTTAGGAATAGGGTTATTTTATTCCAAAGTGGAATAGGATTATTCATGCTAATAACATGAATTAAATTAGGTTTTAAACCTAATTTTAATTGTGCCACCCCTTGCTAATTGAAGTAGAAAATTCTCTCAATTCAATTTCAATTGTTTAACCTCAAATAATCTTTTTATTTCTAGCAAAGTTAAATCGGTTGTGTGTGTTATTGTCTTTGTGTGGTGTGATGAGTGTTGAAATGCATATATATTTAGTGATTTGGGGATGAGATTTTAGGGAATTTATGGTTTAATGCATTATTTATGATGATGCACCAATCAAACCATAGGAAGGTAAAACCGTAATTCTAACATGCAAAATTAGGCTATATATTAGGTTATTAAAGGTTTGTACAATGATGGATTTTACAAAGGTGTTTGTGAGAGAGTTGAGTAGTGGAAATAAATGCCAATAATATCCTTGGATTCACACAAAAGAGAATGTTTGTTGTAATAAGAATCTCACGACGTGTGCAATGAACCCTAAAAATCACCAAAACCCTTTATTGTGCTACGACATGCTTGTTGCATGGCCTTGTGACTTGTCAATGGCTATTTAACTTTTTACAAGTATAAATGCAGCTTTGCATGCAGTGATCACTCATTGGGCTAACCCTCCTTTGGCTAACTTACCTTGTTAGCTTGGTTGTACAGAATGGCGCCCACGAGCTCATTTTCAAAGGTCGAATCATCATACCTTAGGCTTGCCATGGGCCTCATTTAGGCAGTCCCAATCCATTATTTGAGCATATTGGGCCTACATGTGTATCGTAGTCCCTACCACATAACATATACAAACTATGGATAAATATGATATAATACACATACATTATTTTATACAACATTTTCCATACAACATCATGTAAAAAGAAATGATAGCAATTTAAAATTAAAATTAGACTTTCATTCCAATAACTTTTGCCCCCTAATGTTGTATGAGAATGTGATGTGTGTGTATTTCATAAATATTATGTTCAAAAGCTCAAGCTTTATAGTTAAGTTTATGTGTGTGAGTCATAAAAATATATCTACATCAACTTTTTTCAAATACATTGAACAAAAGTCAGGTAAGTGTGCTATGGTCATAATTGGTGGTGGCCAGGTTGTCAAATCTAAGAGGAAGCGGGATGTTCAAATCAACTTACGCGTACTTCAACTAATCTTCAGGACTTATTGAAAACATTATAAACTCAATGTTTTAAGATAAGTCACAAATATGTGGTCGATAACCCTAAGTAGTTTGAACCCAAGAGAACAAATCTTTTATCATTAGGTCAACCTCTTGGGGTTTAAGTATAATAACCTCTTAATGTTAGATTAAAATGTAAATGTGTGAAATATAAATTTGCTCAATATAGTAGTAGTTGGGTGATTAGTAATTATTGTAGGCACATGGGTGGCGGATGGCTTCCCCTTAGTTGTTAAGATTTGTTGGTAAGGTTGGCACTCCCATAATTCATCATTGGACCAAATCATGTATTTTCACTAAAGCCATAAACGTTTTGTTTTATTTTTATGTTTAATTCATTTTCATTAGTTATGTTTTTTTAATTTTTGTGGTTTTTATATTTGACTTGAGGAATTACTATCCATAATACAGATAAGGGAGTATTAATTGTACCCATCGACTTTTAATAATTCTTTTGTCGTTTCAATTATATTTTTATTTAATTAAACATCAACTTATGGATTTTTATTGAAATTGTGAAAATATATAGAGTCGAACATTTTAAATATTCAAGTTTGGGTACCAATAGTTATTTTAAAAATTGTTTCTCATTACATAAAAAATAAATTGTAATAATATAGTTTAGTTTAACTAACATAAGAATATATTTGATATATAATTTAAATATTGACATAGTTGACTTTATTTCATGCTGCTGCCTGCAATATATGGCATTATATGTGAACTAATTAGATGTAGTCACAGACAGAGGACCAGCAATGATTTTTTGATTTTTCTTCAACCACCACGATGTGCATTCTGAGTGTGACAGCTAAAAATCTATCAATGACTACTTATCATTGCTTGCGTATCTAAGACATCCATATTTAATGAAATTATATTTTGAGTAAACAAACCATTTTTCAGTTGAGTCCTCATAATTTCCCTATTTCTTATGTAATTTAAAGAAGAGAGAATATTATTAATTAATGGAAGATGAGATGTGGGATATGTTCTTCCAATCTAATAAAGAACTCAACAGCCAGACCCAGACCTACAACATGTGATGTGATGTGATGCAGTAGCATACTGTCTAAGTCTCTCCTCCCACGTGAGGATCACCTAATTCCTACTAAATCTTAAATTTATATTTATTTCAACACATCATCTCATGCCATAGCTTATAATATCAAAAATATCTTTGTTTTGATTGCAAGATATAGAATCCCAAGTTCCACTAATAGAGACCTAACACTAATTTAACCCAAAATAATATATAAATAAATAAATAATGTATGCAAAGCAATAATTACACATTACAATGAAACTGGTAATTGAAACACTAACATAAAAAGTTCCAATCCCTCTTTCCCCCTTTTGCTAGCTTCAGAGAATAAACAGAAACAAGAGCTCCACTACCAAGATCAAAGATGAGCAAACAGATATTAAAAAAATAATGAAAGAAAGAATTTGTAAATGTAATGGAAACCATCCCTTACTTCCGACCTGTCGTTTTCTTCTCTCATATTCAAGATCATTTAGACTTTCTTTTTTCCTCATCTGCAATCGGTCGAACTAAATGTGTCTGCAAATCCTGAAGGTTTAGAAGGGATGCTTGATTGTGACTGGGAGAAGGACATACCACCATACATAGTCGAAGTACCTTCATCTGCTTGCCATCTTTGTAGTGCTTGTGGGAGACTCATGTGGAGGTCAATGCCCAAGCTTTCATCATCTTCATGGCTGGTAGGTTTCCACTGCTCTACAAGAGGACCCAAGACATTGACTGCATGGCCCATATCTGGTCTTTGGTGTGGTTCGCGAGCAGTGCAGTGTCCTGCCAGCTCTGCCACCCTGTAGATACTCTCCATTGTCTCCTCATCAGGGTTTAGGGTTTCATCAATGGCCTTGAGAATGTTTTCTTTATTGATTAAAACCCGACGGAACCATGTCACCAAATGAGCCCTATTATCCGGCATAGTATCATCTAATGCTTTCCTACCAGTGATAATCTCCATCAAAACCACTCCAAATGCATAAACATCGATTTTTGTTGTCACTCTTCCAGTTGCTGCCAAATCCCAACAATGATATAAGATGGAGTATATATTCATATTCAAACAAGTATATTTATCCAAGAGGACTTAGAGCAAAAAGAAAACCTACTAAAGGAGAGGAAATACAAGGGAAAGCATTCTCAAACAGATACATAATACAGTTGAGGATATGATATATAAATCAAAACATGATCTTATTCTAGATACAATAACATCCTAACAGAAGTATGAACTGATTATGTCTTAATTTTAAACGTTTTCTTCAAACAAGTTCAATTACAAAAGCTAATTCAGTAAGAAAGATGATCTGATCAAAAACGGATATTATAAAACCATAGGCATTATCATCACATAATTCAAATGAAGAGAAGACATTGACTGCATTATGATCATAGACATATCAAAGTTATTTCGACAATCTTGTGCAGATTTCCACAATTCCTGAAAAAAAGAAAATTGAAAATCTAAAACACAATTTCACCTAGAGAATTTTTCTGAAACAAAAAACGTAAAGTAAACATATATAACATGCAAATCATTTTGATCATTCTAATCATAACTCATGAACTGGCAAAAAAATTTAGCTGAAGTCGATTTTGAGAAAAACGATAAACTCAATTCAACTAAGCTCAGGTCCAAACTAGTCTAAGTGGAACACTACATGAATCCTCTTCCTCCAATCTGCCCTACTAGGGAAATGACATGAAACATCAAATGATCATATTTAACTCACTGCCATGCTAATAAATAGTAAGAGAGAACAAGTTCTCAGCATTTGAGGTGGCATGATAGAATAACTTCATATAGTTTCAATATTTACATCTAATAGTAACTGCAAATACATATGAATATTAGAAAATTAAAACATCATCTAAGTTAATTTGAGCAACACCCTCATGAAACGTGATGTTCCTAAAGCAAATGTAATATTACTGTGAAATAAAATTATATAAGCCAGATCAAACATACCAGCATACTCAGGTGCAAGGTAACCAAATGTCCCAGCCAATCGAGTCTCCACTGAATACTTTCCGTCAGGTGCATTTTTGACCAAACCAAAATCTGCAACCTTCGCTCTCATGTCGTCTCCAATTAGTATATTTGACGGTTTCAAATCTCTATGGATGAAGCTTTGTTGTGCCAAACTGTGTAGATATTCCACTCCTCGTGCAACATCCAATGCAATAGTTACTCGCTGCTTCCACGTTAGAGGAGAATAACAATTATCACGCCACTCAAATAAGCGCTGTGCCAGAGTGCCCTGAGGCATATACTCGTACACCATCAGCCTCTCATGACCATTTATACAGTATCCTAAGAGTGCAACCAAATGTCTATGCCTAACCTTAGTAAGCACTGCAATTTCAGCCTGAAACTCATTCATTCCTTTGGTACCCATTGCATTAGACTCCATCCTCTTCACAGCAATCTTAGTTCCATCATGCAATTCACCTTTATACACAACACCGAATCCACCCTTACCCAAAATATTAGCTTCACTGAAATTATCAGTCACCTGTCGGAGAACCTCTATGGAAATTATCACATTTCCACCCTCAAACAGCCGACGATCACTATGATCCCCACTGCTTTGGCTATGTAGTTCACTAGGAACCCCATTATAGCCACTCAGACCATTCAAACCAATTACTCCGTTCTTACCAACTCCATTTCCAGATTCCGGACTCTGTATCCTACCAAACTTCTTATGCTTTCTCTTAACAATAAATTTATAAACAACAAATAACACCACCACGACAAAAATCACAACAACGATAACAATTGCAACAATTATACCAACAGACAGTGTCTTCCCCTTGTCTGATGCAGTCGAAGTTCCATTCGTTGATGCACCTGATCCAGACCCAGGAGGGCTCCCAGGAGTTGTATCCACATTCGTTCCAAGGAAAGGATTTCCGGGTGATGTTGTAGGCTTCAAACTGTTCCCAAAAGAGGGGACTTTCCCAGAAAGATTATTGCCTGAAACATCCAGATTCTGAAGAGAAGCTAATTTGGTCAAGCTATCAGGAATAGAACCAGTCAAATTATTGTTCTGCAAATTTAAATTCTTCAAAGCTGTAAGGTTCCCATATGATGGCGAAATAGTCCCTTCAAAATGCTTATTGGCAAGAGTTATGGTGATGACCCTTCCTTGTGAATCACAAGTAACAAAAGGCCAACCGTCACAAGCATTGTTTCCCGGCCAAGAATCAGCTAAAACCGATGGATAGTACATAGCTCCAGCAATCTGAAGCAAAGTAGCGACCTGTGCATCACAGGGGCTTCCAGCTTCTGAACTATTTTTACAAAAATTGTTATGATCAAGAAAAATCTTCTTAACCGAGCTGGGAAAAGCCGGATAAGGCCCTTGCAACTTGTTGTTTGTCAAAGAAATGTTAATCAAAGCAGGAAGTGAAACAATAGATGCAGGAAGAACACCAGTTAATTGATTATCACGCAAAGACAAATCAAACAAATCAACACAATTTGACAAATCTGGAACCGGACCCGTGAACTGATTCTGGTGAAGCCAAACTTGCTTCAACCGAGTCATCCCAGATAGCACATCAAGCCTACCGGACAAACCCACCTTCTGATCGTTCATCCAAAGATTCTGAATCTCAGATTTGGCGAAAGACGCCGGCAAAGAACCAGTAAAGTTGTTATACGAAAGCCTCAGATTCTGCAAGTTGGGAAACGAATCAAACACATCTGGAATAGGCCCATTGATGTTACAATCATCCAAGTACAAAGTGGTAAGACTTAAAGATTTGGTTAATTCATTAGGAAAAGACCAAGAAGCCAGCTCAAAATTATCACTAAGACTCAAAGTTTGCAAACTGGTTAACCCATCAAAGCAACCAGAAGTAACACTGGTGAAATTGTTGCGGTCTAGGAAGATTTCTTGCAAAGATGCGAGCTTGGCGAAAGAAGGAATGGCTCCAGAAATGCCATTGTATTGTAAAGAAAGGGAATTGAGCTGGGACAAAGAGGAGATTTCTGAAGGCAAAGTGCCGGTGAGTTGGCTTCGGGCGAGGCTAATGGAAGTGACACGGTTTGAGTTGTCGCAGCTGATGCCAGTCCAGTCGCAGTAGCCGGAGGAGGAGGTGGTGGACCAGTCGGAGGGGGTGTTCTGGAGGGACTTGGCGAGAGCGAGCATGGCGGCAGAGTCATCGGAGTAGACCGCCGTGGAGAGGTGGAGTAAGAGGAGGAGGATGGAGGGGAGAGGTGGTAGGGGCTTTTTGGGTATCATGAGTTGAAAGTTTTGGGGGATAGAGAGAAGATTGTGGGGCGGATTGTATGGTGTTTTGTTTATTGAGGGGTTGATATTTGTTTAGACAGCGCGACAAAAGTAAGTTTGCGCTAACCTAATTGTGCTAGTATTACAACCAGTTTTCAAAAAAAAAAAAATTTCTTTCTAAAACAATAAAAATAAAAATCTAAAAACTTTATATTTAACGCTGATTTTTTAAGTATATTTATTGGTTTCTAAAAAATCAGAGAGACATTTGTTATTTAATCAAATATCAAGGTAGACAAAACCTCTATTTATGATTGAAATTCTTCACATATTATTCATAATTTTAATATAAAATGAATAGATTAAATAATTTCTTTAAAATAAAATATATTATATAAAATAGTATAACAAGTAATTGATGATTAAAAAGAAAAGTGAAAAATGAATTTTTATCCTTATTATTTGAATTTTTTTTTTTTTTCTGAAAATGCATATATTCCTTTGTCGTTTTACTTGCAGTTGAATTGGTAAGAAAGAGTCATGGTCGAACTTCAGGTTAGTTGTTGGGTAATTGGTTGCATAAATTGTCGAAACGGCGGTGGCGTGCGGCCCCACATTTGACAGCTGGTGGTGCGTATCAGAAACCGCGTGGATTGTGGATGGCTGGATGCCCCTCTACTTATATCATACCTTTCACCTTTATTTTAATTATAAGAGAATATTTGTTTCCTTTTTTTCTCTTGAGGAACTTTCCACTTTCCACTGTCATTTTCAGTTGAGTTGGCCACTTTTTATTTATTAATATCAAATCAATTCAAGGATGTTAATGCTGCTTCTATTTTTTTGCCCAAATCTTCAATAAATTATAAAAACGTGGACAATCGACATGTAATATGTTAGCTGTCCATTATGGTTACTCATTTTTTTAAATCTTTTGTTTATCTCTCAGCCTAAATGTCATATTTTCAGAAAAAATTATTATGATTTATTCAAATCCTTCATTCTCTTGAGGTTAAAAATGGATTCATTTAGTTTTTTTTCAATAAAATATTATTTTAAGAAAATTACATTAAATTTTATCATATATTTTCCTTTTTTTTCCAAAAAAATGCCAAAAAAAAAAAAAACTTTAAAAAACATATATATTACTAATTTATATAAAAAATTAATGGACTATTATGCCCTTTCTTTTAACGAATTTTTGATCATTCTATTCCTCTTCACAACGAAATTTACTAACATACGAATTTTTTATCATTCAACTCCTCTTCACAACGAAATTTACTAATATAAATTTCTAACGAATAGGTGATGTGCGGCTGGGTTGAGGAGTGAACAGCGGTGACTAGTAGGGTTAATCCGACCAAAACAAACACAAGAACACTCCAAATAATCAATCAAACAACACCCAAACTTCAATACAAACTCCAGACTACTCCATCAACATCAAAAAACAAGCCACAGCAAGAAAATCCGAAAATACAGAACAACAATCACCCGAAAATACAGAATAACAATCACGGTGCTGTAGGTGGTAATCGGTGAGCAGGGGTGGACAGTGTGTGGGTGGGTTTTGAAGAGCAAGTGGGGTGTGGTGTACGGTGAGAAGTGAAGTGGGTGGGTTGGTGCTGCCATGCGGGAGATGCTAGGAGGGAAGGTGGTGGGGAAGTGGAGCGATAAAATTGGAGGTGGGCAGAGCAGCGAAGGGGAGGTAGTGGGAGGCGTAGTAAAGAGAGGAGAAGTGAGGGAGGACTGGTCGTTTTGGCTTTGGCTCGGATCTGAGAAAGAAAACAAAAAAAAAAAAAAAAAAAGAGAGAATGAGAGAAGAAGGATGAAAAAAAAAAAAAAACAAGTGGCAATCATTCAGCCCTACAATTACCTACACTTTGAATTTAAAAATTTTGATTTTTTTATACAAAATATTAATGGATTATTATGCCCTTTTTTTTAACGAATTTTTGATCATTCTATTCCCCTTCACAACAAACTTTACAGTGAAATTTACTAACATGCGAATTTTTTTATCATTCAACTCATTTTCACAACGAAATTTATTAAAATAAATTTATTGTGTGTAATAAAATTATATTTTGAAACATTGTAAGAGAGAAAGTGTTATTACGCCATTATTTAAGTAAAAAAAAGCCGTTTACTTATATTTATATATATTGTAGCAACTAGCATCCCATTGACACATCGTTGATCGATCAATCAATGTTGTAGCATGGTCAATGACGATAGTTGAAAATGCAGAGGCATTGAACATTGCATTTGAAGTTTTGAACAACAATAACTGAAAAATAACCACCAAACTTTCTTGGTAAAGACAAACCATGCTTTATTATATATTATTGATGTCCATTGAAGGGTGATTTTGTAATTTTAATTTCTCAGCTTATCATAAGCCATAAAGCTTATTCTATTAATTATTTTAATGGTTCAAATTAGGATTTGACGGAGCTTTTTATTGGATCAGAAAGACCAGTAGTTACAACTTACACATCAAGTCTAGTAAACACACTATATGATTAACTAGGAAACTATCAAAGCGAAAAGGAGAAGAAGAAACATTAATCTGAAGGCTGAAGCGAGCAAATCNTATTTTGAAATATTATGAGAGAAAAAGTGTCATGACACCATTATTTAGGTAGAAAAAAGTTCGTTTACTCATTTATGTATGTTGTAGCAACTAGCATCCCATTGACACAGTGTTGGTCGATCAATCAATGTTGTAGCATGGTCAATGACGATAGTTGAAAATGCATAGGCATTGAACATTGCATATGAACAACAATAAGTGAAAAATAACCACCAAACTTTCTTGGTAAAGACAAACCATGTTTTATTATATATTATTGATGTCCATTGAAGGGTGATTTTGTAATTTTAATTTCTCAGCTTATAATAAGCCATAATGCTTATTCTATTAATTATTTTAATGGTTCAAATTAGGATTTGACAGAGCTTTTTATTGAATCAGAAAGACCAGTAGTTACAACTTACACATCAAGTCTAGTAAACACACTTTATGATTAACTAGGAAACTATCAAAGCGATAAGGAGAAGAAGAAACATTAATCTGAAGGCTGAAGCGAGCAAATCCTTAATCTCTAGCAACCTTTTGCAATTTGATCCACAAAATCCTTAAGATTCTTGTTTGAAGACCCACCTTCCTTGGCAGCTTCTTTTGCCAACTCCTTCCATTTCCTCGCATTCCTTCTCATTTCTTCACCTCCCAATACTATTTCCAAGCACCTCTTTATCTCATACCCTTCAACTATTCCTTCTTCATTATGATTCACTCTCACTCCTGTCTTCCACACGTCTTCAATCAGCTTTGCATTTGTAGTTTGATCTGTCCACTGTGGAAAAGCCACCGTTGGTACCCCAGAACATAAGCTTTCAAAGGTTGAATTCCACCCGCAATGTGTCACAAAACATCCCACTGAAGCATGAGACAAAACCTCTACTTGTGAACACCATGGCACTATCTTCCCTTGCTTTTCCAACTCTTCTCTACAACTCAACTTATCTTCTTCTTTATCTTCCTCTCCACCTTCTTTTGCTCTTATAACCCACAAGAATGGACGACCCGTGTCCAGCAAACCCCGTGCAAGCTCTTCCATTTGTGGCTTTGACAACACAGAAATACTTCCAAAAGAAACGTAGATAACTGATGATTTAGGCTTTGCGTTGAGCCATTCCATGTATTCCTTATTATAACCACCCTTAAACAGATCGCCTCCGAAAAAAGTATCTGATGGATCTTTCCCATCTAAAAAAGCAGATGGAATCAACGGTCCAATTCCAACCATATTATACTCATCGATTGCTTTGAAGACCTCGGACTCTAACGCTTCGTACGTGTTAACAAGTAGTGTTGGGTTGGTTTCTTCATCAAGGATATCGAACTGTTCTTTAAATGATGGGAGCGCAAAAGCATATTGATTTGAAGGGATAAAAAATGAAGGAAGGTCTCGTGTAGTGAGGTCTGGCAATCCCGGCAGAGATACTGAAAATGATTGGTCTTCAATGTTATTCCTTATAATATCACCATAACCCTTGAAGTAAAAATAATAAATAGCGAACATGGTGGCTGTTTGGTTCCAAAAAAGAGTAGTTGGGATGTCATGAGCTCTACCCACATTTGCTACCCAAGGGATGAGTATAGAATAAACTATGCATGTAAAACCATTACCTTGTTTGGTGTTGGAGGCAATGAAGTCACTTAGACTGAGGGAGCCGACACGCTTAAGCTCATCCATGTAGTGATGGACGTCATCTCTTGATTTATATCCATCCTCATACCCATCAGAAAAGGCAGCAAATGACAACCCTGGAGCATGAGTTGTGGAATTGTTTTTCATGCGGCGGATGGCAAAGTGGCTGGTGGCAACGGTCACACGCACACCAGTGCTTAGAAGTCGCTTGGCTAATTGAAGACAAGGGTTTATGTGGCCTTGTGCGGGAAATGTTACTAGGAGGATGTGTGGTTGCACCATGTTGGTAATTTTGAGTATAATGCAGAAGATGAGGATGGCAATGGCTTTATATAATATAAAGGTAGCCTCAAGCTTCAGAATTGTTACGTTTGTGGTGACGATAAAAGGAGAGGGATTCTGATTTTTGTGATGACGTTATTTCTTCAGAGGTTTGATTGCCCAGTACGTACCAAATTTGAATTTTGTAACAATCAAGCATGCCATATTATATGGATCGGAATAGTATTCTTCTTACCATTTGACTGGTTGGTTGGTGATGTTCATACTCCTAAACAGTTACTATTAATTAGAGTCCAAAAAGCAAGCCAAATTCTGGATTTGCATGGTTTAACTTTAGACATATAACAACAACACAGGTACTCTTAGTTGACTTGACTTGGCCTTGTTAAAGATCATCTTTCTGGATTTTTCCTCTCTCGAGAAATATTTTCTTTGACATGGAAAATCACAACACTCAATCTCTATGGATCTTACAAGGAATAATATCAATTATTCAAAAAACATTTATCACTCACTGTGTATAGCTATGAATCTTGTATATATACATATCTTGGGGTGACGCCATGAATAGATTAAATAATTTCTTTAAAATAAAATATATTATATAAAATAGTATAACAAGTAATTGATGATTAAAAAGAAAAGTGAAAAATGAATTTTTATCCTTATTATTTGAATTTTTTTTTTTTTTTTTTCTGAAAATGCATATATTCCTTTGTCGTTTTACTTGCAGTTGAATTGGTAAGAAAGAGTCATGGTCGAACTTCAGGTTAGTTGTTGGGTAATTGGTTGCATAAATTGTCGAAACGGCGGTGGCGTGCGGCCCCACATTTGACAGCTGGTGGTGCGTATCAGAAACCGCGTGGATTGTGGATGGCTGGATGCCCCTCTACTTATATCATACCTTTCACCTTTATTTTAATTATAAGAGAATATTTGTTTCCTTTTTTTCTCTTGAGGAACTTTCCACTTTCCATTTTACACTGTCATTTTCAGTTGAGTTGGCCACTTTTTATTTATTAATATCAAATCAATTCAAGAATGTTAACGCTTCTTCTATTTTTAGCCCAAATCTTCACTAAATTATAAAAATGTGGACAATCCAAATGTAATATGTTAGGTGTTCATTCATATTACTTATTTTTTAAAATATTTTATTTATCTTCTGGTTTAAATGTCATATTTTCAAAAGAATTATTATAATACATTCAAATCCTTCTTCTCTTGAGGTTAAAAATGGATTAATTTAGTTATTTTCAATAAAATATTATTTTAAGGAAAATTACATTAAATTTTATCATATATTTTCCTTTTTTTTTCCAAAAAATTGCAAAAAAAAACTTTAAAAAACATATATATTACTAATTTATATAAAAAATTAATGGACCATTATGCCCTTTCTTTTAACGAATTTTTTATCATTCTATTCCTCTTCACAACGAAATTTACTAACATACGAATTTTTTATCATTCAACTCCTCTTCACAACGAAATTTGCTAATATAAATTTCTGACGAATAGGTGATGTGCAGGCTGGGTTGAGGAGTGAACAGCGGTGACTAGTAGGGTTAATCCGACCAAAACAAACACAAGAACACCCCAAATAAACAATCAAACAACACCCAAACTTCAGTACAAACTCCAGACAACTCCATCAACATCAAAAAACAAGCCACAACAAGAAAATCCGAAAATACAGAACAACAATCACCCGAAAATACAGAATAACAATCACGGTGCTGTAAGTGGTAATCGGCAAGCAGGGGTGGACGGTGTGTGGGTGGGTTTTGAAGAGCAAGTGAGGGGTGCGGTGTGCGGTGAGAAGTGAAGTGGGTGGGTTGGTGCTGCCATGCGGGAGATGCTAGGAGGGAAGGTGGTGGGGAAGTGGAGCGATAAAATTGGAGGTGGGCAGAGCAGCGAAGGGTAGGTAGTGGGAGGCGTAGTAAAGAAAGGAGAAGTGAGGGAGGACTGGCCGTTTTGGCTTTGGTTCGGATCTGAGAAAGAAAACATTAAGGAAAGAAAAAAAAAAAAGTACGAAATGCGAAAAGGGAAAACAAAAAATTAAGAAAGAAAGAGAAGAGAATAGGAGAAGAAGGATGAGAAAAAAACACGTGGTAATCATTCAACCCTACAATTACCTATACTTTGAATTTAAAAATTTTGATTTTTTTATACAAAATATTAATGGACTATTATGCCCTTTTTTTTAACGAATTTTTTATCATTCTATTCCTCTTCACAACAAACTTTACAATGAAATTTATTAACATGCCAATTTTTTTTATCATCCAACTCATTTTCACAACGAAATTTACTTATCATTCAACTCATTTTTACAACGAAATTTACTAAAATAAATTTGTTGTGTATAGTAAAATTGTATTTTGAAATATTATGAGAGAAAAAGTGTCATGACACCATTATTTAGGTAGAAAAAAGTTCGTTTACTCATTTATGTATGTTGTAGCAACTAGCATCCCATTGACACAGTGTTGGTCGATCAATCAATGTTGTAGCATGGTCAATGACGATAGTTGAAAATGCATAGGCATTGAACATTGCATATGAACAACAATAAGTGAAAAATAACCACCAAACTTTCTTGGTAAAGACAAACCATGTTTTATTATATATTATTGATGTCCATTGAAGGGTGATTTTGTAATTTTAATTTCTCAGCTTATAATAAGCCATAATGCTTATTCTATTAATTATTTTAATGGTTCAAATTAGGATTGGCCAGAGCTTTTTATTGATCAGAAAGACCAGTAGTTACAACTTACACATCAAGTCTAGTAAACACACTTATGATTAACTAGGAAACTATCAAAGCGAAAGGAGAAGAAGAAACATTAATCTGAAGCTGAAGCGAGCAATCCTTAATCTCTAGCAACCTTTTGCAATTTGATCCACAAAATCCTTAAGATTCTTGTTTGAAGACCCACCTTCCTTGGCAGCTTTCTTGCCAACTCCTTCCATTTCCTCGCATTCCTTCTCATTTCTTCACCTCCCAATACTATTTCAAGCACCTCTTTATCTCAACCCTTCAACTATTCCTTCTTCATTATGATTCACTCTCACTCCTGTCTTCCACACGTCTTCAATCAGCTTTGCATTTGTAGTTTGATCTGTCCACTGTGGAAAAGCCACCGTTGGTACCCCAGAACATAAGCTTTCAAAGGTTGAATTCCACCCGCAATGTGTCACAAAACATCCCACTGAAGCATGAGACAAAACCTCTACTTGTGAACACCATGGCACTATCTTCCCTTGCTTTTCCAACTCTTCTCTACAACTCAACTTATCTTCTCTTTATCTTCCTCTCCACCTTCTTTTGCTCTTATAACCCACAAGAATGGACGACCCGTGTCCAGCAAACCCCGTGCAGCTCTCCATTTGTGGCTTTGACAACACAGAAATACCCAAAAGAAACGTAGATAACTGATGATTTAGGCTTTGCGTTGAGCCATTCCATGTATTCCTTATTATAACAACCCTAAACAGATCGCCTCCGAAAAAAGTATCGATGGATCTTTCCCATCTAAAAAAGCAGATGGAATCAACGGTCCAATTCCAACCATATTATACTCATCGATTGCTTTGAAGACCTCGGACTCTAACGCTCGTACGTGTTAACAAGTAGTGTTGGGTTGGTTTCTTCATCAAGGATATCGAACTGTTCTTTAAATGATGGGAGCGCAAAAGCATATTGATTTGAAGGGATAAAAAATGAAGGAAGGTCTCGTGTAGTGAGGTCTGGCAATCCCGGCAGAGATACGAAAATGATTGGTCTTCAATGTTATTCCTTATAATATCACCATAACCCTTGAAGTAAAAATAATAAATACGCGAACATGGTGGCTGTTTGGTTCCAAAAAAGAGTAGTTGGGATGTCATGAGCTCTACCCACATTTGCTACCCAAGGGATGAGTATAGAATAAACTATGCATGTAAACCATTACCTTGTTTGGTGTTGGAGGCAATGAAGTCACTTAGACTGAGGGAGCCGACACGCTTAAGCTCATCCATGTAGTGATGGACGTCATCTCTTGATTTATATCCATCCTCATACCCATCAGAAAAGGCAGCAAATGACAACCCTGGAGCATGAGTGTGGAATTGTTTTTCATGCGGCGGATGGCAAAGTGGCTGGTGGCAACGGTCACACGCACACCAGTGCTTAGAAGTCGCTTGGCTAATTGAAGACAAGGGTTTATGTGGCCTTGTGCGGGAAATGTTACTAGGAGGATGTGTGGTTGCACCATGTTGGTAATTTTGAGTATAATGCAGAAGATGAGGATGGCAATGGCTTTATATATAAAGGTAGCCTCAAGCTTCAGAATTGTTACGTTTGTGGTGACGATAAAAGGAGAGGGATTCTGATTTATGTGATGACGTTATTTCTTCAGAGGTTTGATTGCCCAGTACGTACCAAATTTGAATTTTGTAACAATCAAGCATGCCTATTATATGGATCGGAATAGGATATTCTTACCATTTGACTGGTTGGTTGGTGATGTTCATACTCCTAAACAGTAAATATTATTGAGAGTCCACATAAAAGCAAGCCAAATCTGGATTTGCGTCATGGTTTAACTTTAGACATAAACAACAACACAGTACTCTTAGTTGACTTGACTTGGCCTTGTTAAAGATCATCTTTCTGGATTTTTCCTCTCTCGAGAAATATTTTCTTTGACATGGAAAAAACAACACTCAATCTCTATGGATCTACAAGGAATAATATTAATTATTCAAAAAACATTTATCACTCACTGTGTATAGCTATGAATCTTGTATATATACATATCTTGGGGTGACGCCCTGTGGCAATTTGGATGTCATGCATAAGATGAATGGCTTTGGTGACGCCCATGCCGCCTCTTAGCTTGTCTACATATTAATTATTTTTAAGCATATAATATATCAATACAGTATCTTTTTTGTAACCTTCCTAATTAAACCATGTAAAGGCCAGACCCCAAAGCCACAATTCTCATATGACAGCACAAAAAAAACGAGAGCAGGGCATCACAACATAGTCAGGGAGGGTAGCATCAGTAACCAAATCCCTTGAGGCAGACAAAATGGATCCAACCATGTACAAGAGGGCTGACAAACATAGAAGCACACAACCACCACTTCCCCTCCCCCCAATCAAAACCGAAAGCCAAACCCATAACATAGAGAAAAAAATAAAACCATTTCATCACCGAGTACACAAAAAAAAAAAAAAAAAATTAATAATATAATATAATAATTATATTATTATTAATATAGTAATATTAAAAAAAATTCAGTAAAAAGCTTTTCTTAGAATTCTTTATTCCTTTCAAACAAAATATAATTATTTATTGTTGTGTGTGATTTTTCCATCAAGATTGGATTCGAGGTTGTAGTTCGATCCAGAATCAGTTTGACTCAATCGATTGTCCGACCCAGCATAAGCTCATCAAGTGTGAGATCGACTCAGCACAAGTTAGTCGGCGACCAATCCTTATAGTTGTTCAACCAACTCACTGATAATTTAGATCCCGAATGTCTCAGAAAGGATCAGATTGACAGCAATCTGGCGCAATCTTAGCGCTCAATCGCGGAGACATCGGAGTTACACTTTCATCTAATTGTAATCCCTTTATTTTCGCTCTTTTTTTTTGTACAAAATCCGTATATAAACCCCCTTCCAACGAGGAGAAAGGGGTTAGCAAATTGTTTTAGGATTATTATTGTAAGCTCTCACAGCAAATACAAAAACAGTGGACGCAGGCTCAAGAGTTTAACTCGCCGAACTACTTTAAATTTTTTTTGTGTCATTTACTTAATTGTTCTTGATTCATTACATTGTTGGTTACCCGTAATCATGCACACATCCGTTCTGATTCTGTCAAGGTCAATCGGATCGCTCTAGTTGGTGCAAAATCTTGTATCAACATTTTGATGCTAGAAGAAGGGCCTTTGCCAAAATCTCAAAATTTTCGATAAACAATCCTAGTGACCCAATCACTCAAGGCCCACAATGGTTCGTACAAAATAAAAAACCACCAACAGAAACCATGACAACACGGAAACCACCTGCCAGGAGGTGCATCAAGATGTCATCGGGCATCAACTACCAGTGCCGCCAAGGCAACAGGCCACAAACCAGTAGGGGGTAGGGACGTCGAATCCCAAAAATGGTCAACTGGTGGAGTTGATCAAAACAATGGTTGCATAGGCGGTGCAACAAAACGTTGATGAATTGAGAAACCATCAACCAGCTCTCCAAGAGCTGGACCGGTCGCGCTTCACCGATGTTACCCTAATAGGTCGGAATTCAACCGACGACTAATTGGCTCATTGGCACCGAGGAACGGTTGACGATCTCGGCATCACCGGGCACGTTCTACTCATGAACGAGAATCCCGCGGGCAAACTAACACCGGGAGATGACCAGGCAAAGAGCCCATGAGGGAAAATGAAGGCAATGTTCGCCAAAGGGATACTCGACCTACTCGACAATATCCCCAACATTAGTGTGCCGGTTTTAACCCACGCTAAAGGCATGCTCAAACCTCGCAAGTTCATGAGATGAGTAATGCATGCCGATCTGGCAATGGCTGACGTTCCAATTATAACCAACGTTGTAAGCAACGCACTGATGAGCATGATAGCACCTACCAGTCAAGCCATCATGACTCGACTTCGCGCGTCAATGCACACAATGGAGAGGGCTCACAAGCGACAGACTTGCGAACTCATATGCTCGAGGTGAGGCTAAATAGAGTCAGCCAAGGCAATCCTCATAACGAAGACTTAGATCAGGTGCAGAGAATGCTCAACGATATAAGAGCCCGCCAAAACAATGCAACAAAAGAGATAGTGAGCTCTCCATTTATAGAGGAAGTATGCCAGGCCCCGCTTCCCCAAAGATTCAAGGCACTAGAAAGCAATTTCGATGGGAAAGGAGATCCTAGAGACCATCTTGACACTTTCAACGACCTAATGGAGCTACACTAGGTCTGTGACTTGGCAAAATACCGCTGCTTTGCGGTCACATTAGTAGGGGATGCCAAAAGGTGGTACAAGAGGCTCAAGGCAAACTCAATTAGTTCTTGGCAACAGTTCTCCTCGCTGTACCTACAATAATTCCAAGCGAAGAGACAGTTCACAATGCCGCTCAACTACCTGAGCAATATTCATCAGGAGAGAGACGAAACACTGACCTTGTATCTAACGAGGTTTCAGAACGAGCAGGCAAAGGTCGCGGATGCACCTGAAAAGTCAATCCGGACTTTGCTCATTGCGGGTATCAGGCTTTAGATGGAGCTGTGGAAAGAGCTCCAAAGTGAAAACCATGTGAGCCTAGCAAAGTTCTACTGAATGGCTGCTAAACGTCAGCGAGTGGAAAGCTTGCTAGCAGCCCTCGCCACGAAAAGCCCCCAATAGGTGACAAGATTGCCCAGCAAATAAATGAAGGGGCCAAGACCGCAATGATAGGGATCAGAATAGGTTCCAAAAAAGACAGAAAACAGAAAATCACGGGGAAAGACAACCTTTCCTGCGATACGCAAAATGCACCCCCCTTACTCAAGACATAGCTCATATATTTGAAGTCTCTGGTGAGGCTAAAAGATTGTCTGCTCCAGAAAGGATGAGGGGGGCTTCGGGCAGAAGAGATCGACAGAAATATTGTCGATATCATTGGGACATCGGGCACAATACCAATGAGTGCCAGGCTTTAAAGGACGCCATCGAAGATTTGATCCAAAGGGTCCACCTAAAAGAATTTGTTAAGGAGGTACCAGCTCGCAAAAATACAAGCGAACAGAATAATCAGGTCCAACAAGCCCCGACCAACAATGAGGTCCTAGTAGGTATGATCTATGGGGGTCCCGATATTGTAGGGAGCTTAAGGCGCTCTTGCGAACAATATGCGCAAGAGGCTAGGACAGACTCGATTCCCTGAGTAATGAGCTGTGAATTTAAGCCACTAAAACGGCCCAGGTAAGAGAACGAGGTGATATGATTCACTGTGGATGAGACATTGTATATAATGCAGAAGATGAGGATGGCAATGGCTTTATATAATATAAAGGTTGCCTCAAGAAAAAGTCTCTTCAGAATTGTTACGTTTGTGGTGACGATAAAAGGAGAGGGATTCTGATTTGCGTGATGACGTTATTTCTTCAGAGGTTTGATTGCCCAGTACCGAATTTGAATTTTGTAACAATCAAGCATGCCATATTATATGGAATAGTATTCTTCTTACCATTTGACTGGTTGGTGATGTTCATACTCCTAAACAGTTACTATTTATTAGAGTTCAAAAAGCAAGCCAAATTCTGGATTTGCATGGTTTTACTTTAGACATATAACAACAACACAAGTACTCTTAGTTGACTTAACTTGGCCTTGTTAGTTGTTAGAGATCATCTTTCTGGATTTTTCCTCTCTCGAAAAATATTTTCTTTTTTTATTTCTTTGACATGGAAAATCACAACACTCATTACTCAATCTCTATGGATCTCACAAGGAATAATTAATATCAATTATTCAAAAAACATTTATCACTCACTGTGTATAGCTATGAATCTTCAAGTGTGTTAATTAATCTTCAAAGTTATTGATACATATTTCGAAATTTTAATTTTATTTCTTTGATGGGCATGACCAAAACCTTTTATTTTATTAAAAAGCCCTTTTTCAGATATTTTGCTTGGATTAAAATACTGGGCTTTATTTTATTTCATATAAATCCCCTTTCATTTGAACTAGGATATTTATTTTATTTTCATTTATCAATCCAAAACGTTCTCTCAAATTTATTATTTTAAATTGTGTCCTAAAGCCTCTAAAGAAGGTTTTTTTTTTTTTTTTTTTTTTTTTTTTTTAAATAAAAGGACAGTTTTTAAATAAAGCATCGAATACTTCCTATTAAAACAATTTTGATTTGTTGTCCTAAAAGGTTTTGTCCAAAAAAGATTTAAGTGAAACGCTCTAGCTTTAGAAGATCATTTTCTTTAAATTGCTATCCAGAAAGAGTTTAATTTGTTTTAAGAGTATACCACATGTTCCCACCCGAGGTTCAGCGAAATGGTACATTGGTATCCCTGATTTCATTTATTTCATATTTCCACCCTCAAAGTAACATCGTTAGGGTTCTCACACATATGCAGAGATTGCAATTATCAAATTATCCTTGAACCTTTGACTTTTGATTATTTAGCAATCAAAAATTGAGTGGGCACGTAAAAAACCGATAATGCCATATATTTATTATATATACCCATAATAAATTTATGAAATCACCATAATGCCCCTTTATTTTAACTGTAAAATGCAAAATTCTAGAGTTGAATTACCCTTAACCCTAATAAAAATCATAAATTAAAATAAATTAAAAACGTAAACCCTTCATCTTCCTGGTTTTTGCCCTCTAGGGTTGTCATAACCTCTTAGGCCATTTTGGCCATTCCTGACACTAGCGAACAAAGGTGAGGGTCCTCAGATGATGACCAAGGCCTGAACGGCCTGATCATGACATGAAAACCGTCGGCGTCGTCGAGGTGCCTTAGGCCACTTGGTCGCCTCCAGCCAGCATGCGACCACCTGGCCAACCCTCGACATTGATCAGCCCACTTGACACCACTATTTGCTTTCCCTGGCCATCCCCACCAAAACCTTAACACCATCTAGTCGTGTCGCTTGCCACCGGTCACCCATGTCTTCTCTCTATCGCGTTGCATAACTCTGCGTCGTGTGACCCCATGCCGTGACCTAACAGCCCCCAACTATCACAAACTACCACCATCAAGCCTATTGGTCGAACCTCGCCGCTCAGTCGCCTGTCACGCTCCAATCGCACGTTGCCTGCAGTTGTGTTGCTTTGGTATTTGATTGAATTGGAGTTTGATTAAGTTGGCTGTTTTATTCAATCGGAGTTTGGTTGAATTTGATTTGTGTTTGGGAGTGTGAATTTTTTTTTTTTTTTTGCAAAATTTCAATTGGAAGATTGGCAAAAAAAAAGGGAGGCGGAGTTCATTTTTTTTTTAATTTTTTTTGGTAAAAGCCTTTTAGCTTTGCTTTAAGATCAGGAAAGGAGTTTCCCCGATGTTGTGCAATGGCAATGTGAGATTTAGTTGGAGCTGAAGGTGGTGGAGGAGGTGTAAGTGGAGGTGGAGGCTTTGGTGGTGGTGGAGGAGGAGATGTTAGAGATAGTTCTAATGAAGGTGGAGGCTTTGGAGTTGGGGGCGGTGTTGGTGGCGGGGCTAAAGGTGATATTGATGGTGGTGGTGGAGTAGGAGGAAGAGGTGGAGTTGGTGGTGGTGGTTCTGGTCATGGTGGAGGCTTTGGTACTAGAGAAGATGGTATTGGTGGTGTTGGTAGTGGTGTTGGAGGAGGAGGTGATGGTGGTGGGGGTGGGGGTGGAGGTGGAGTAAATCACCATTTTAACCTTTAACTTTTAAAATAAATGATATGACATTACTTTAAGGGTGAGAATCTGAAATAAATGAAACAGGTATCAACTTACCATTTCGCTAAACCTCAGGTTACATGCCGTGTACTCTTTGTTTTAACCGTTTATATTTCATTAAATTCTCCCAAGGTTATTTTAGTAAAATCATTTTCTTCTTCAATAATTTTTTTTTTCTTAATTTTTTTTTCAAGAGATAAATAATCTCACCACTTATCTCACATCTTTATCACTAAAGAATTTTAATCTTGAAATTATTCATTATTTTATGTTATTGAAGCATTTATCTTGACATAAATAAAGGTGGGCAAGGACTAGGCTCAATCGATCCCGAGTCTGGGCCCAATGGGTCCGGTCCCATTGGGACCAAGCTCATTTTGGTTGGGACAGGTATGTTTTTATTTAGTTTATAAAATCATTTCCTTAATAAAACTCTTTGATATAAATCTCTTCTTAATTCTTAATTTATTTATTTTATTCATTGAACATAGACACCTAGATTATATTTCTAATCTTATTTATCTTTGTTTTTGCTATAATTAGGAGATAAAAAGTAAAGGACAAAATTAAAATGGACCATAAATATATGAGCCTAAGGCGAGAGCTTTTATCTTATTTTCTTTCTCGAAATTTATGTGTTTATGTACAATGAATGGCTGCTATTTATAGACTTAGTCAGCTGCCTAGGTAACCAATCAGTTTTCACTTCAATTTGGATAAAGGTAAACCAATTTAAGCTAAACTAAGTGTTATTGGTTCACAAGCGTTGTATTACTAGAAATCTTATAATAATGAAAAGATAGATTATTAAAAATATTATATTAAATATACTTGGTTAGATTAAAATAAATTGATAAATATAAATGTTGATACAAGATTTTGCACCAACTAGAACGATCTGATTGACCTTGACGAAATCGGAACGGATGTGTACGTGATTACGGGTAACCAGCAATGTAATGAATCAGGAACAATTAATAAATGACACAGAAAAATTTTAAAGTGGTTTGGCGAGTTAAACTCTTGAGCCTGAGTCCACTGTTTTTGTATTTACTGTGAGAGCTTACAATAATAATCCTAGAACAATTTACTAACCCCGTTCTCCTCGTTGGAGGGGGTTTATATATAGATTTTGTACAAAGAAAAGAGTGAAAATAAAGGGATTACAATTAAGATTAAAATGCAACTCCAATATTCTTGCGATTGAACGCTAAGATTGCACCAAGATTGCTGTCGATCTGATCCCTTCCGAGATATCCAGGATCTGAAATTATCTGTGAGTTGGTTGAACAATTGTAGGGATTGGTCGCGACTAGCTTGTGCTAGGTCAAGCTACAACTCGATGAGCTTATGCTGGGTCGGACAATCGCTTGAGTCTAATTGATTCTAGATCGAGCTATAACCTCACAATTCTCCAAGCTTGATGAAAAAATTACACATAACATCTGCCCCTAATGTTCAGTGCTCGTTTCGAGCTTCGAAGATTATTGCTCAATTTGATATCAAGCTTGGACTCCGTCGGTTGTGTGATGAATGCAGGTATAGTTGAGCTTCATGAGTCGGACTAATCTCCAATCGACATACTCAACACTTGGCTTTTCCTCTGTTGTGGTATTCTTGACAAACTCAGAATTTGAAATGAGGGGCATATGTGTAACTTCCATGCGGACATGTCGCATTAAATGTAGTAGCCTTTGGCAGTTAGTATTCGTCATGCGTGGGTGACTACAACTATCCACATACAAAATCAAAGTGACGTGCTGTGATGGTTATGATTATGGCAGTCTGACAGTTGATCGACCATCACAGATAATTGACACGTGGCCACGTCCAAAGGCTAAGATTGCTCGATGAATGGAGGGCTGAGATTCACTGTAGATCAATGGCTACGGTCGAATCCCGCCCTTTTGTCTCCCATGCAAACCACTATAGAAGCTGGCAACCTCGTCAAAAGTTCTACGCACTTTGCAAAAGTTTTCAGATTTCTTTGCTTATTATGTCATTACTTTTTCATTTTCATGGCGCTTTTCCAGCAAGTTTCTTCAATCTTTACACTTCAGTAAGGTTTCTTTCTCTTCCTTTACTTGTTTTTGTACCTTTTTGCGGTTGAGGGTGGCCATTGTCGTGGCCACATTGAGTTTTTTTAAGGCTTTGTTAGGGTTTTTTTAGTGTGTTTTTGGCGGTTTTGGGTTTAAGGGTTTATGGTGGTGACCGCCAGAATCCTGGTAGCTCGTTTGTGTCTGGTGTTTGACGCGAGCTATTTTGGGTGCCCGAATTGAAAGCAAAGTGTGGATAGATAGTTGAATTTTCGAGCTCTGACACATGTTCGCTTCTGTTTTAGGTACCTAAAGGCAAACTTTCACCATGTCTTCATCAAGTAGCCACAACATTGATCGCATGTTCGACTCTCCAACGGGCTCAGCGGTTCTCAGGGATGTAATCCCTGAGATCTCTAAGGACGTCATTGCATGGAGATTAGATCCTGATGTGGCGGGCTCCTCTAACCATGCTTCCACGGAGATTTCTTAGCTAAAGAAATCTCCAGCCCATAGGCCCCGAAAGGAACCACATTCCTCGATTAGGGCCGAGGACATTAGGTGCATAAATGAAGTTTATGCGCCTCAACTTTCCTTAACGGCTTCGAGAGGCTTCTCCTGTAATATCCCACTTGAGGTACGTATTTAAGATTTGTTGTATTAGTTAAAAGTTTATTGTTTTAACTTAAATTGAGTTTGTATGTTGAGTTGGTTGAATTGTTGCCTTGAAATGGGTTGAGTTTTGGTGAAGTTGGAAATTCCAGTTTTTGGGCAAAATTTCAATTGGAAGATTGGCAAAAAAAAGGGAGGCGGATTTCTTTTTTTTTTTTTTTTTTTTTTTTTTTGGGTAAAAGCCTTTCAGCTTTGCTTTAAGATCGGGAAAGGAGTTTCCCCGATGTTGTGTAGTGGAAATGTGAGATTTAGTTGGAGCCGAAGGTGGTGGAGGAGGTGTAAGTGGAGGTGGAGGCTTTGGTGGTGGTGGAGGAGGAGATGTTAGAGATAGTTCTAGTGAAGGTGGAGGCTTTGGAGCCGGGGGCAGTGATGGTGGCGGGGCTAAAGGTGATATTGATGGTAGTGGTGGAGCAAGAGGAGGAGGTGGAGTTGGTGGTGGTGGTTTTGGTCATGGTGAAGGCTTTGGTACTGGAGAAGATGGTATTGGTGGTGTTGGTAGTGGTGTTGGAGGAGGAGGTGGTGGTGGTGGTGGTGGGGGTGGGGGTGGGGGTGGAGGTGGAGTAAATTACCATTTTAACCTTTAACTTTTAAAATAAATGATACGACATTACTTTAAGGGTGAGAATCTGAAATAAATGAAACAGGGGTATCAACTTACCATTTCGCTAAACCTCAAGTTACATGTCGTGTACTCTTTGTTTTAACCGTTTATATTTCATTAAATTCTCTCAAGGTTATTTTAGTAAAATCATTTTCTTCTTCAATAAATTTTATTTTCTTCATTTTTTTTTTCAAGAGATAACTAATCTCACTACTTATCCGAAATCTTTATCACTAAAGAATTTTAATCTCGAAATTATTCATTATTTTATGTTATTGAAGCATTTATCTTGACATAAATAAAGGTGGGCAAGGACTGGGCTCAATCGATCCCGAGTCTGGGCCCAATGGGTCCGGTCCCATTGGGACCAAGCTCATTTTGGCTGGGACAGGTATGTTTTTATTTAGTTTATAAAATCATTTCCTTAATAAAACTCTTTGATATAAATCTCTTCTTAATTCTTAATTTATTTATTTTATTCATTGAACATAGACACCTAGATTATATTTCTAATCTTATTTATCTTTGTTTTTGCTATAGTTGTAGGAGATAAAAAGTAAAGGACAAAATCAAAATGGACCATAAATATATGAGCCTAAAGGCGAGAGCTTTTATCTTATTTTCTTTCTCGAAATTTATGTGTTCATATACAATGAATGGCTGCTATTTATAGACTTAGTCAGCTGCCTAGGTAACCAATCAGTTTTCATTTCAATTTGGATAAAGGTAAACCAATTTAAGCTAAACTAAGTGTTATTGGTTCACAAGCGTTGTATTACTAGAAATCTTATAATAATGAAAGGATAGATTATTAAAAATATTATATTAAATATACTTGGTTAGATTAAAATAAATTGATAAATATAAATGTTGATACAAGATTTTGAACCAACTAGAACGATCCGATTGACTTTGACGAAATCGGAATGGATGTGTACGTGATTACGGGTAACCAGCAATGTAATGAATCAAGAACAATTAATAAATGACACAAAATTTTTTTAAAGTGGTTCGGTGAGTTAAACTTTTGAGCCTACGTCCACTGTTTTTGTATTTACTGTGAGAGCTTACAATAATAATCTTAGAACAATTTACTAACCTCGTTCTCCTCATTGGAGGGGGTTTATATACATATTTTGTACAAAGAAAAGAGTGAAAATAAAGGGATTACAATTAAGATTGAAATACAACTCTGATATTCTTGCGATTGAGCGCTAAGATTGCGCCAAGATTGCTGTCGATTTGATCCCTTCCGAGATGTCCAGGATCTGAAATTATCTGAGTTGGTTGAACAATTGTAGGGATTGGTCGCGACTAGCTTGTGCTAGGTCGAGCTACAACTCGATGAGCTTATGCTGGGTCGGACAATCGATTGAGTCTAATTGATTCTGGTCGAGCTATAACCTCAAAATTCCCCAAGCTTGATGAAAAAAATTACACACAACATCCGCCCCTAATGTTTGGTGCTCGTTTCGAGCTTCGAAGATTATTGCTCGATTTGATATCAAACTTGGACTCCGTCGGTTGTGTGATGAATGCAGGTATGGTTGAACTTCATAAGTTGGACTAATCTCCAATCGACATACTCAACACTTGGCTTTTCCTCTGCTGTGGTATTCTTGACAAACTCAGAAGTTGAAATGAAGGGCATATGTGTAACTTCCACGTGGACATGTCGCATTAAATGTAGTAGCCTTTGGCAGTTAGTTTTTGTCGTGCGTGGGTGACTACAACTGTCCACGTGCAAAATCGAAGTGACGTGCAGTGACGGTTATGATTATGGCAGTCTGACAATTGATCGACCCTCACAGATAATTGACACGTGGCCACGTCCAAAGGCCAAGATTACTCGACGAATGGAAGGCTGAGATTCACTGTAGATCAATGGCTACAGTCAAATCCCGCCCCTTTGTCTCCCATGCAAACCACTATAAAAGCTAGCAACCTCATCAGAAGTTCTATGCACTTTGCAAAAGTTTTCAGATTTCTTTGCTTATTATGTCACTGCTCTTTCATTTTCATGGCGCTTTTCTAACAAGTTTCTTCAATCTTTACACTTTGGTAAGGTTTCGTTCTCTTCCTTTACTTGTTTTTGTACCTTTTTGCGGTTGAGGGTGGCCATTGTCGTGGCCACATTGAGTTTTTTTAAGGCTTTGTGAGGGTTTTTTTAGTGTGTTTCTAGCGGTTTTGGGTTTAAGGGTTTATGGTGGTGGCCGCCAGAATCCTAGTAGCTCGTTTGTGTCTGTTGTTCGACGCAAGCTATCTTGGGTGCTTGAACTGAAAACAAAGTGTGGATAGATTGTTGAATTTTCAAGCTCTGACACATGTTCGCTTCTGTTTCAGGTACCTAAAGGCAAGCTTTCACCATGTCTTCATCGAGTAGCCACAACATTGATCGCATATTCGACTCTCTAACAGGCTCAACGGTTCTCAGGGATGTAATCCTTGAGATCTCCAAGGAGGTCGTTGCATGGAGCTTAGATCCTGATGCAGTAGGCTCTTCTAACCATGCTTCCACGGAGATTTCTTAGCCGAAGAAATCTCCAGCCCATAGGCCCTGGAAGGAACCACATTCCTCGATTAGGGCCGAGGACATTAGGTGCATAAATGAAGTTTATGCGCCTCAACTTTCCTTAACGGCTCCGGGAGGCTTCTCCTATAAAAATCCCCCCATTGGTTGTGTGGCGGTTTTTGATACACTTTTAAGGTGTGGGATGTCTATTCCCCCTCATTACTTCGTCGCCAGTGTTTTGGAATGGTTCGATATCGCTCATATTCAGTTGCTGGCGAACTCATACATAATAATAGTAAGTATGTATATGGCATACCGAGTAGCCAATTTGGGCTAGCTATCTGTAGAGGAGCTCATCCATTTGTATAGATTAAAAAAAAGTTAAGACAAAATGTACAATCTCTCCAGGTGAGAAAAGTGCATTTTAACGATTTGGTCGATATCCCAAAAAAAGTTTCGCACTGGGACTCATAATATTTTTTCTACAAGGCCGAGGAGACCAGCATTTTTGCTCCCGAAGCTAGTAAGATTCTAACCCTTGTGCGTGCAAAGAATGTTTCAAAACTCATCGTCAAACTAACCAAATTCTTTTGCTTTGCAGTAAAAGTTGAGCAAAACTTTCTTCCTGGAGCGAGCTTAGCGTGGCTTCAGCATTTCAACAATCTTTCCGAGGGTGAGCGCAAAGTTACTAAGCTTATCACACTTCCTCTATCGAGAGAGTATGACTTTTGTGCCAGCAAAGCCAAATTCAATACCATTATTCAGAAAGGTAAGTGCTTACTTGCTGGTTTTTTTTTTTTTTTTCCACTCCGTTAGGTCGTTGATTGTTTGATTCTCCCTTCATAGATATGTGGGCCAAAAAACCTAAAGGCCTAAACAAGAATACGACAGCACCTGGGGCTACCAAAAAATCGCTAGTCGCTCCGGCGAAGAAACAACCCGTTAATACTGTTGGGGTGTCCGGGCATGGTACCTCGTGCCCGATCCGCAAGTAGAATGGTGGTGAGCTTAGGAAAGGCCCAAGTGCCAAGAAGCCCTCAACTACCTCGGGAAGAAAAATGCCTCTAAGCTCCAAAAAGGCCCGGTGAAGAAAACCCCCGATCCAACTAGAGGCTCAAGGAAACAGAAAATGTGTGAGCAACATGATGGCTCGAGCAAGAAGAAGATTTTAGAGCAACATGAAGGCTCTGGCAAGAAGAAATCGATCGAGTTGTGAGGGGGCTCGGGGAAGCAGAAAGTTGTTGAGCAACAAGGTGGCTCGGGCAAGGAGGTTGTAGGGCAAGCTAGTGGCCTTAAGAAATCTGCAACCAAGGACTTGGCCAAGAAGAAGTATGTTCTCACGGGTAACGCTGCCATTCCCATGGGAAATAAATCGAGCTCGCCTCAATAGGGAGGCAAAAAGATGGACGAGGTAACTCAAGCCGCGCTCGACATATTGATCAATGAGCTCCTCGAGCACATCAGCGTTGGGGCATCAGCGGCCAAGATGCCATAACTCTGCGGACTTTTACGAGCATTAGAGATTTGTCTCCTTCCCAACTGCTGGCTCGGGCATGCAGCTATGTGACCAAGGTATTAATAATTCGCCCTCTTTACTTTTTTGGATGCTTCTCCTTCTTCTCCATTGACTCTCTTTTCTTTTTAGGCTTGTGTGGCAACCAAGCTTATCTTTGATGAGAGTTACCCCACATTGGAGGGTACTCATCTGGGGTGACAGGAAGCGGAGATTCTAAAGAATGATGCTTTGGCTAGGGCCGACTTGGTAGAGAAGGAGAATGACCTAAAGTAGTCTGAGCTTGATCGGCTTAAAGAAGAGGTCAGAGCCTTTAAGGTGAACGAAAATGAGTTCCTTGACAAAATCAAGGTGAGCAAGACTGATGAAGCAAAGGCTGAAGTGAAAGCGGTTGAGTCTGAGAAGAGCTTGGCATAACAACAAGGTGCCAACAACAAACTAAATTTCGAGCTTACCTTTGCTCAAAAGGTTGCCTTAGACTAGGAGGCTAAGTGTAAGAAGGCCTCGCTCGAACTCACAAAGGAGGTGGAAGGTTGCCAAGGGGCCGAGGTTGAACAACTTAGGCTAGACGTCAAGGAGCTAAACTTAGCCATCACAAGCTATGCTTGGGAAACGTTGGTCTTTCTCGTGTAGAAGCTATGGGAAGTTCACCCTTCGCTTGACTTTTCCTTCCTTCCAAGGGCCTATCAAAAGGAGGTCCACAGGATGAAAACTAAGGCCTAGGGCATGGAGTATGTCTATTCAGATGACTCCGAGCTCAACAACGAGGGTGAAGAAGAGGTTGAGGAGGGAGGGGAGGGTGCTGGAGTTAAGCACAAGGTTGAAGATCCGTCTCCTCTAGCTACTCTCCCACCTATTGCTGTTGACCTTCCCTCAGTCGAGCCTCCGGTGGATGTCCCAGATCTTACCTCTGAAGAAGCTGCCAAGACTCTTATGGCCAATGATACTCCTACACCTGTTGGCAATGATCTTTTTGCTCCTGCTGGCGATGATGCCCTTGCTCCTACTACTTAGAGATTTTTTTTATCTTTTTTTTTTTTAAGTTTGTAACTGAACTAACACAATTAATGAAAAATTTATTTTGCCTATTTCTATCAACCAATTTTTTATTTCTATAGAGTCGTTTTGATCGGACTTAACATAAAAAATTTGAATTTGCTCCAAGTTATGTGTAGCTCGCTTCTTGAGGAACTTTTCGAACATATAAGGAAATCTTATGTGCGACAACTCCGAGTTTAGACTAGTTATTCGTCTCGAGTTTTGGTCGCCAGTTTATGACCAATTTTCCTTTGACGTGTTTTACTCGAGTTTTTCCAAGTTTAACTTCGTCGATTCAGGGAATTTCTCCCTTCATGAGCTGAATTTTGGTGTGGCTTAAAGAGCTAAGCTGCATTTTTTTGAACTCTTGACTCTGAGTTTTGAATGTGATCGCGTAGGTTGCGATTTTGAATCAATAGATAATAAATGACAAATAAAATAACAATAAATAAAAAGTGATGAGTAAAATAGAGTTCATGAATAATACCTCGTTTTCA